AACGCGTTTAACACTTTTAAACCTCGTATTACGTCGGTGGCCGATAGACCGGACTACTATACGATATAAAAGATTATAAGATAACTCGTATACGAATTAACAGACTATCGTGTGTAGTTAAAGGACTAACTATAACTTCCGATACTCTTTACCCGGATAAGAGTAAAGAGATTAAAAAAGGTTACGAAAAAAACTAAAGTTTAATTTATCGAAAGAAGAGGATAATTATTATAATCGATTCGTAGTCGAAGACTACGAATTAAGTGACTAGGCTTATATAATAAGGCGTAGTGTAACTAGTCCTTAACTATACGTTAACGCCACGTTAGTGAAAAAGCCTTTCTTTTTAAATAAGAGGACTCCTTTCTTCCCTTTGGGAAGAAGGGGTAAGAATTAGTCTTTGTTATAATATACACCTACCTTCGCCCTCGAAACTAATGTTTTTTATCAACTAATCTATTATAAAGACCTATCCTATAATCACTTATAATAAGTAGTTATAAGTTCGACACTACTCGTATATCTCGTTTACGTATACCTTATAAATAGACTTTACGTTATAACGAGTCCCGTTATCGTTTAATATTAACGGGTGTACGTTAAAGTAACGTATAAATATTTTAAGTATAGTCTTTTTCTCGTTTAAAAATAAAGACTTTAACGAGGCGTTTTTTAATATGTTAATAATACGTTACGTGTAACTATATATCCTTTTACGATATGGTCCTTTAAACCGTCGTATTAATAAAGATCTTTAGTAAGGTTTTAAACTAAGGACGAGTTATAAAGTTTTAAAAGGGTAGTATTATAATAAACTCGTTATTTTAGTATTTATTAACCTCGTTTTTATTATACGTTTTATATATTAAATATATAATTATACTTTAATAACCGGGAAAACGTAACGAATAGTCGTAATTTTAAACTAATCTTTATTATAATTAAAAAACGAAGGTGTAAAACTATTATCTCGTATAAAAGTTAAAAAAGAGATTATCGTAACCCTTATAACGTTAACGTCGGTCTTTTTAACGTTAAACGTTATTTTTATTATTTCGAAAAAAAGGTATATAAAAAGGACGTTAATCCCGTTAACCTCCGTAAAAATAATAAATAAATTTATATTAACGTTATTTATATTAAAAGTGACGTCGATAAAAAACTCTTTTATAATAAAAGTAAACGGTTATATTATTTCTTTATAAAAAAAGTAAACCCTTTTATATTATTATAAACGTACTCTTTAAAGGTAAATTTATCGGTTTTTTTTAATAAAAGTAATAATATAAAGACGTATTAATTTTAATCTTATACTTAAAGATTTTTATTAACCTTTTTTTATTAGTAATAAACTTAAAAAAGGGTTATACGGTTTACGTTAAATACTTTATTAATAATAAGGTTACGGTAAATCTTTATAAGAGTATAAAAGTTAAACCGTATATCGATATACTTTAAAACTTTTAACTTAAGATTAACATTTATATATATCTTATAATAACGGTAGTAAAGAGAGAGTATAAACGTGTATTTAATATAATATACTTTAATCGTTAAACGGTTATTATAATCGTAACGTTTAAAGTTTCTTTTATTTCGTTAATTTTCGTTTTTATTTTTCTATTTTATATTTACGTTTTAATAATAATAAAAATAAAACGTAAACGAAATATAAGTTTTATAAGTTATTTTTTAAAAAAAACGATAATTATTAACTTATTAAATAGTGTCGATTAAAATTAAAATAGTTTACGAGACGTTATTTTCGAGTGTCTCTTTTTTTTCTTTTAAATTTTATTAATTTAACGAGAAAAAAAGGAAGGGGATAAATAAACGGTCGATAATAAATAATATATTAATAAACGTAAGTTTATTATTCTTTTAATTATATTAATTATAAAAAAAATAAAAAAGAAATAAATAATTAAGTAAAAAAAGTATATTAATAACTTTTACATTTATAACTCTTAATAAAAAACCTTTTAAACGTTTAATTTAAAAGTAAAACGTTTTTTTTATACCTTATATAAGTCCTTTTTTATTTACTATTTTATAAAAACCCGAATTTAGTGATATCTCGTATTATTTAATATTTCGAACAGTACCTTTTAACAAGACTACCGAAAGGAGAGTCGAGAGGTAAGGAGGGAGGGTCGAGAGATAAGGGGGAAGGGTCCAAAGGTAAAAGGAGAGGGTCGAGAGACAAAAGGGGGTCGAGAGACGGTTAAGGTTCTAAAGAGGTGCCGATTTCTAACGACGGTAAGACGTCATAATATCCTAAAAAAGAAAAGAAAAGTTAACCATATATATAAAAAGACGGTCGAAAAAATAACATAAAAATAATCTACATACCGTCTTCCATAGTAGTTTAATTACCGAAAAACGATAGGGGTAAAAGAACGTGTAGATTATACAAGCGGAGGATTATGGTGATGGATGCGGGCAAAAGTAAACAAAAAAGAGGGCGCGGCGCGTTTTCGACGTGGTCACGAGAAAAGCGGACCCGCTAGTCCCTAAAAGGATGGCGTTTTAGTCACATGATCCGAGTTTTTTGTTGTACGATTATGGTTTATGGTGCAGTGCTTCATTCCACGTGATGAGATTAGTCATACGACAAGCATGGTCGATTTTGGTCACGGGACTAGTCGAATAGCTTCTTACCGCACGACATGGCGGATATGCCTTGCTCTTGGTCTTTTCTGAGACTCTTAAGACATTATGAAGGAGTCGCAACTTGTGGATGTTGATTTTGTCTCCCGACGAGCTTACTGGAGAGCGAACGGCTTGACGACTGGTAACCTTTGACGGGTTTGCCCGCACGGACGATCTGAAAATACAGTTGGGTCCTTGCCGTAGCATAACTTCCAAAGATTTTGTATGATCGCCCTGTAGGACATGGATATGTACGCGGTGACGGGATATTGTCTACTTGAGGCGGCCTCAATTATGCTTGGTCTCTCAAAGCACGGTTTCGATAAGGTACGGTTACAGCGGGCAGAGGCTCCGTAGCAAAATTATCGACCGGCCCACCGCTGCGACACGATACGGCTCGGCGGTGGGTCACCGAGTTACTCAAAAGCAGACCTTTGGAAGAAGAACTTCAAAGAGAAAGGGCGGCATGAAACGACTAGCACGGCCTGACTAGCTATATAATGTGCAGGTGCCGACCAATATTTGTGCAACTTACCGGGACGCAGTTGCGGGCAAAGTTGCTTGGATGGCCGGACATTTTACGGACACTATATTGCTCGGATGATGCATCGCCGGCGGAACTTGCAGTGCTGGCACGCGACCTTTCGCATGGTATGTGACGGGAAGGCAGAATGACGATGGAGGATCATAGTGCAGGCGTAACCAACGATGCCTTTTGTGGCCTTGCCTTGACAGAATAGTACGATGTAGGCTGTGTTGGTCCTCGAACAGGAATGGCTGCTACGGTGTTATGACTTTGTATCACCTTGTATCTCACGACATACTGGTTGAGAATTCCGTGGCGTGGCTTGAGAATACTTGCTTGAACCAATGACATACATCGTATGTCGTTTAAGGATAATAATTTGGAAGGAGTAGTGTTGTCGGGCGTATGAGTGAGATTCGCTATTCGTATGGACCACTAATTATTCCTTTGCAAATGTCAGCCCGACGGGACAGTTCGTTGCGGGCTCAAACTCGTAAAACAAGCTATGCCAGAATAGGCTCTATTCCAGACGCTTCCGTCACCAATAAATGCATCATGCACCCGTTTTCAGGCTGTGTGGGCTGGGCGTTATTGCCAAGTCATTTGCCCTCTTCCGTATTAACAGACAATAAATACGAGCCATCGGCAGCGTTTTAGGTCGTGCCCGTCTCCGTGAACGCCCAAATGCCAACAACACTTGGTCCGCCACCCTTTTCCCAACATTTTGCGCTCTGCTTCGTCCCTCAGTCTCCTTCCGTACTCCGTACTCTCATGGCGTTTTATGTCTACCGCCTCTCATGTTCTCTGTCTGTCGTTGGATGAATACGAGCTGGCCTTCCTGTGCTCTCGTCGCAGTCTCCCTTCTCCCTTGTCCACGTCAGCGGGGCGCCCCTTTTCAGCCCCTTTTGCGCTGCAAATGGAATCATACGCTAACGCAGGGAGACGTCTGGTTTCGCTGCGTTTTGCACGCCCGTCCCCTGCATCTTATTCTCGATACTTAACGGAGTGCACAGCACGTAATCTGTACCTAGCTTTCATCCCCGTTCATGATCTAGTACTGTGCACGGTGTAATTACGACATATTAACCCTCACGGGTTTTCACTCAATCCCGTCTTTTTTGTTTTTCAAAAGCGCAAGGTACGTGATTATATGTACAAAGCACAGTACGGCGGTACTTGTATGGTCTTATTTCTCGGCGCCCAGTATCAAACTGTATGGTACGCTTATGTTGGCCTTCCGCTGTGTGTCATACTTCGTACACTCTTTTGCCCCAGACAGCTGTACTTTTTTTGCGAGCCGTGCCAATATATTTTTGGAGCGTGCAATGTGTGACCCACTCATTTTGTACATGTACTTACATCGTCCACCAAAGCCCCCTAAAAGCCACCCACTCTATATCCCCTGAATGGTGCCCCACCCCTACCTCCTCGCCTCCTCATGCCTGAGGCATCAATCCCCTTTTCTTGTCGACGTGTCCTCTACATAAGGTCGCCCTCTGCTCATCACAAGAACAGCACTAACTTGCATCAACAACCACAGAGGAAACAGTCAACCACCGAACCCCACTCATTACCAGACGGGCGCAGGCAACGACTTGCAGGCAACGACTTGCAGGCAACCGCCGGCCTAAGACTATGATCTCTTGATTTCGTCCGGGACCCTCGCCTTGTGCAGTCCTGGAATCGCCATCTTTCACCTCAACACACGTCACAAACGCCCCAATCCAAAGATTCAGAACATATCTGCACATTTTCCTGCCAACCCAGCTTCTATTCAATACATTCCCACAACAATCCTGTTGCTGCGGTTAAACGCGTCACGATGGAGACCACCTGGGAGACGTTAATCGCATCAGCGACACCTCGCAATAATGCCGAGACGTCGCCGACTGGCTCTCTTCTGTCGGATCCTGGCTGTGTCTACCCATCACTGTTCTCTGGCTCGACTGTTGCGTCCTCGACAGCTGCCACACCCACGGACTCCAGTGCCGCAGCAACTCAGTTAATCGTCTCCGCCGACGACATGGACATGGTATTAAAGGGACCTTCTTTCCAATCCAGTCTGGCCTCCGTCGCCGAAGAAGGCGACAGCATCTCGGATGCTTTACAAGAGGCCTCACAAGCCACGGTTGACGCCGACGCGGCTGCATCGGACAAAAAGCAAACAAAAAAGCGGAAGTCGTGGGGCCAGATACTCCCCGAGCCAAAGACCAACCTCCCTCCTCGGTATGTCCAGTCTACCTTGCTTCCGGCATGTTGATTTTTGCCGGCCCTGTCGTATCACCGGTCACAATCTTGTTTGCCATGTAGCTTTATGCTAACGCTGACCAATTGTTTAGCAAACGCGCGAAAACGGAAGACGAGAAGGAGCAACGCCGTGTCGAGCGCGTTCTGCGTAATCGCCGGGCAGCACAGTCGTCTCGAGAACGGAAGCGCCTCGAGGTCGAGGCTTTGGAGATCCGGAATCGAGAGCTCGAAGAACAGCTGGCAAAAGTCAGGAGAGAGAACATGCTGCTGTATGAGCGCTTGACCCAGGTGCAAGGCAAATCGGCTGTGGTTTCCACGGCGAACCCCCCTGTGACCCTTTCACAAGAGCTTTTCCGCTCCCAAAACGGCCACTCATTTGTGTCCGAGTCCGACGCGGCACTTGGTCCGTTTCTGAGCTCGGGCACGATCGACCCTGTGTCACTCTCCCCTGCGCTCCCCCCAGTACCGGACGCGAACGGCGACGAGGAGACGATTCCCGAGGACAAACTCGCCTCCTCGGAACAAACGTCCAACACGACTGAGCAGCAACAACGCATTGCGCAAGCCCCCGGCGAGCAAGAGCGATCTGAACCGGCCGCTTCCAGCGCCCGCGGTTCGTTGGTACCGTCTGAACTTGAGCCCTCTCCCGACACGACACATCGTCCTGCTGCGACGCTGTGCCCTGACCTGCAGTGTCTGTCGGCGGAGGAGCCTCAAGCGTGGACCGTCCCTCCGAACTCGCCTCCGTTGATGGCGGCTTTGTTCTACCAGACGACTTTGCTTCTCATGCTCTCTTCCACGGTGATTTCAATCTGCTCTCGGCCGGTGACCCAGATCGCTTTGTTCTTGAAAGCGGGTATCTCGATTCCCCCGAGTCCGGCAATTCTGACTTCCATTATCTGGCTGATCACGACCCCGTCTCGGCGGTCCATGGCCCAGAATTCGACATTGAGGACTTTCTCAACGCCGACGGCGCTCACCAGCCATCCAAGGGCGATTTTTTCTTCGGCGATGGCGGCCTCGACGCGGCCGGGCCGGGCGTCCACCACTCTGCGGCTCAAGATGCTTCGGAAGATCCTGACCAGCAACCCCATGCTGGCGCGTCCTATTAGGGATGCGACGATGCGGGTACTGCGGTCTGTTTGTTCTGAGGAGCGTCTCGAGTGCGTCTCAGCTGGTGGGCCGTCCCGCCCGGGTGTGTCCCGGTACGTACCATGGTCGGAGACTGGTATCACCCCAGATGGTGCGTGGCGTAACGCGGCTACACGGCCGTCCAAAGAGGCGTTGCTCACATTATTGTGGGCATTGCAAGTCGAAGAGCAACGGATGTCAATACCTGTCAGGAGCAAGGCGTCGATGTCGCCCCCGCGATTTCGTTCTGGCTTGCTTCGTGCACCAGTCAAGGGGCTTGGGAATATGAATATGAAGAGGTGGTGAATCTATTAAAACTTTACGGGATGACGGCGTCTTATGGGCGGATGGCACTGCCGTCGCAATCTTTGCTGGACAGCTTTGCCGGTTTTGGAGACTATTTTCTTTTGTCTTTCCTTACGCTTTTTAACGATTTTCTTATTGTGCAATGGTGAGGCTTATTTTGCCATCTCTGCTATAAATATATGTATCCATATCATATCTTTCCTCCACGACCTGGAATTTGTTTTGTTTACTTTTTGAAACAACAGATACTACATTTTCATGAATCATTCGAACCAGGCAACGCATTTTTGGCTTTTGTTTCTGGGCACCTGTATAATATGTTGATTTTGTTTCGAATTGTGTCTCTGCTAACCTTCTTGCAGATGCACTAGCTAGGGATGCAGCGGCTGTAGCTTGTATGTGTCCTCGCGGCACACGGCTGGACGAAACCGTTATTATGAGGCTCGCTATGAACCAATTCAAAGGGCCATGTTAAGCCCCAAAGTCAGATAGACTGGAAATAAATAAGAATTGCGAGCAATAATACAGAAATGTGACAAAGAAAATACAGCCCCCCAAAAAGCTCACTGTGGGCTTGTGCTGAAATAGTAGTTCTCCCAAAGATACTCGTAATCCTCGATAATCCCCCCGATAAAGCCTGGGACCCTGGATCGTACACCGCCGACAACACCCTTCATAACGTGCTCGTAGAAGGCTCCGCGCATCGTCCACCAGCCCATGGCCCAGCCGCGGCGACCCCACTCTTCGCGTTCCAACGACGGTGTGCGAAGGCTGTGGTCCCGCAGCTGCCGCGCGGCACATTCCATCGCCAGCCCGGCGAGCCACGGCGCCCAGGACGTGCGCCCTTTGCGGTGCGTCCGAGCCAGCGCAACGGCGTATACAAGCGGCGTGAGGATGTGTATGATTTCAGCAACCTGGGCAGAGCCTCGAAGCTGGTTCAGCAGCTTGGTTGCGGGCTTGATGTCATCGGCCGTCAGAACACGGGACAAGAGGTAGGACGAGATGTCGCCTGGCTGCGGCAGCGGTGGCATCGACATCTGCGTTCGTGGCATCGTCCAGCCCTTTGTGTGCGAGGGAGGCAATGCTTGTATCTCTGTCGGCGACGGCGACAGTAGGGCACGACCTGAAGGCTGCCCGGCGGCTTCGACAACAGGGTCTGCAGATGCCTGGCGTGGCGATGGTGGTGGTGACAGAGGCGGCTGCGGCGAGAGAGCCGCCTTCTGGGATGGCGCCGTGCCAGTTGGCTGGCCGTCTTCGTTCGCGGTGCTGTCTGCAGCAGCCTTGCTTCCGGCCTCTTCGCCAGCGTATGTTTGAGGGAGACCGTTTTCGTCAACGTCATCGTCGTCCTCTTCGTTCTCCGGAAGCGGTTGCCGCACAGGCAAGGCAGGCGTAAGCAAAATGCGCCCACGCGTGATGCGGAACAACAGAAGCTGGCAGACGGCCTTGATGGCCTCGATCAAGATCACCACGCGCCAGCGCAGGCGCTCTCCGCGGCGTTTGGCGGCCATTTCACACAGCAGCTCGGTGTAGCGCACGACCTGCAGCACAATGGCAACGCGCCTGTAGAAGGTGCTTTTCTGAATCCAAAACCGCGTGTAGCGTGTATGATGTGAAGGAGGCTGTGCAGGCCCCGGCGGAAGCTTGGGAGCGTTTGTCGATGCGTGACCCGACGGAGTAGGTGGTGTTGAGGCAGAGGGTGTACGGAGCAGCAAAAGGTCGTGGTAAAGAGACAGCAGCTGCACGCCCGAGTGGATGGCTTCTGAGGCAATCTCAGCGTCACGGAAGCGTCCAGGGATGATGTAGGTCAGCGACCGCAGGGTCGATTCGATTTGCGAAACCTGCCCGAGATTCTTCGCGATAAAATTGTCGTAGGCGGCCAGCCATTTTGCCGGCGACAACCGCGTGCCTGTCGAGGTCGCCGGGCCGGCCGGGGATGTTTGCGAAGACACCATTCTGTCAACGCCCGAAAAGAACGGCCCGGTGTTGAATAGCCAAGGAAATAGCACCTGTCGGCATCGGATGCCGTCGAGCAACGTGGTGGAGAAAGTTGGAAGAAGTTGGGCGCTCAAAGCGCGTCGGGATTGAAAGGGGGGATTTGATCAGGGCGGCTTAGCTGGAGGTAGGTAATTACTTGCCTCGGCAAAGGAGCAGGTGTCGAAGAGTCATGGTCATGTGATGGTGCACATGACACTAACTTTGCGGCCTTGACGAGGCGATACAGTTGTTACATCTCAACGAGAACGCATTCAACGAGTACATGTTAGGACCAACCCATGTCTTTCAATAACCTCGAAATGAACTTTGTACACACTTTTGCACTTCCGGATGTAACCCGCGTCGTGTGCATGCGCACTTATTAGTAATATAGGGCGGATGCCACCCGTCGACTGCGAATGCCTTGATCCCGCCACCATAACTCGGTTAAATTACAAAAGCATACGCGTTGCGGGTTTTTGGGATGTCCTGTCACCAATGTGAATGTTCATTTATGTTTTGTTACTCCTTTGGGACGCAGCGTCTTCTCGCCGCTGCGCTCCGGCTCCTTGCCCGCACCTGCAATATACCGGAAGCGTGCACGTCTGGTCTAACCAGGGCCAGGTAAAGTGCTGTCGGAAGCCAGGGCAGTCTCTCCAGACAATGGATATTACACCACAGCTGCCAGACACACGCAGCACCGAGTTTCCACCAGTCGTGTGTGTGGCCAGGAGGCTGGCTGCAGACGGATGCGGCAGGTCGAGGAAGACAAATACCAGACGATGCCTCTTTGGTTCCCACCAAAACAAAGTCCCATACCGAGCAGATCCAACGACCGTAAAGACATAGCCCTTGACAGCTTTGCAATCACCAGACGCCTTGCGCAATAATGAGACTGACCGCAATCGTCGCAGCAGCGGCTTCCACCGCGAGCGTGGCCAACGCTCACTGCTATATCTGGGTGTGCAAACGAACACTTGGGGCGGCATGGTAGCAGGTTTGAACCGGGCATGCTAACAAATGCTCACACTCCGTGTAACAGGGCGTCTTTGTAAACGGCATTGATCAAGGTGTGTGCCTGCTTGGCGAGAACAGCGAGGGAATATACCAGCGCACCAAGCAAGATCCCCAACGCTCACCAGTGGCACTCCAGGCACCTTTCGCGCCGTCAGGACACCGGCGTACAACGGGCCAAGCCCGCACGGCTATGCAAACTCCCCTGTGAAGAATCTGACATCCATCGACCTCCGCTGCAACGTGCTGGGAGACAAGCAAGCCGATTACACAATCCAAGTCCGGCCCGGGGACAACTTGACGTTTGACTGGTAGGCCGCCCCGGCGTGTCCCAGTTTCCAAGGCATCCTCTGCTGACCAGGAGGCGCAGGCACCATGACAAGCGCACTGACACAGACGATGTCATTGCCAGTTCTCATCACGGTATGTGATCATGGCACATTTTTACAACTGCGCTGTGCGCGACTTGCGTGCGACCTGTACATGATCGCGGCTGGCAGCTAACAGTGCACGTCGTCTCGTACGTTAGGCCCGGCGCTCGTCTACTTGTCGCCAGATCCGCCAACGGACGACTCGTTTGTTAAGATCTGGGAGGAGGGCCTGTACGAGATGAGCGACGTACCGTTCGGAGCGGGCAAATGGGCAACGACCGCCGATATTGCAGCCAACCATGGCCATATGAACGTGCGCGTGCCGGACGGCCTCAAACCTGGACAGTATGCCTGCACATGCAAACATGCAAACCCTGCCGACCGTGCGTCCGGCCATTCTTGCTGACGGAGTGTGTTTCTCAAGCTACCTAATCCGCGCCGAGATGATTGGGCTCCACGAGGGCGACGCGTCGTACTTGGACAACGCCTTCCGTGGCGCGCAGTTTTACCCCAACTGCGTCCAGATCGAGGTGATCGGTGACGGCACAGTCGAACTGCCCAAGGGCGTCTCCTTTCCGGGCGCCTACGACTATTCAGACCCCGGCGTCGTCTTTGATGTGAGCTTGTCGCCTTGCCACCTTGCCACCTTGCCACCTTGCTCCCGGACATCCTTGTCGTTCAGTTTGGCAGCGCATGCGGCCTCATCGCTGACAAAACAATCCAGATATACTGCTCGACACAGACGAGCCCCCTGCCGACAACGCCGTGTGCAACCACCTATGAGATTCCGGGGCCGACTGTCTGGTCGGGCGCTTGGCCAACAACATCCGCCGTTGTCGTTGGTCCCGTATCTGGGCCGACAACTGCCACCCTTTGGTCCAGCTGGATCCAGAAGTCGGTCGTTACCTATGCCTCGTATGAAGGGAGCGATGTCAATGTGCTAAGCACGGAAGTGTACACGGCCGAGTGGTCGACGACGTACAAGACCCCTGCAGCGGCAACTCCGACTGCGTAAAGAAACAGTCCGGTCGCTCATGAGGACATAGATGGACTCCAGCCGTCCCGTTATTATCTCGCTTACTGTAACTGATTCGTCACTGGTGGTGGTTCGAGGGACGAGTTGTTTTGATAGCACAGCGCATCTACGGCGTACATGTTCAGCGCTGAGAATGCACTGAAATCATAGCGCAATTAAGGCTCACGCAGATATTCTGCACTGTGTAGTCAAAGAAGGCCACCGAATTCACTGGAGCCATGTGATTTAGCGCTAGGTGGCGAACATTAAATAGCTGCCTATTTGCACAGATTGCACAGACCAGAGTATGTCGTAGAGAGCATAACTTCGCCCCACCCGGAGCCGTCCAACCGCCTAAGTACCAGTAACCTTGTAGCCTGGGGCCCTGAACTCGACTGGCTACGTAGTTTGCAGGGGCCATGAGGGGCTCGCCTACATCAATGTCGCCTAATCGACTATCCGATTGCGCTTCTTCTCTCCCCCACATCGACAGTGCTCCCGACGACATCTATCACAACCTCGCCCTTCACACGCCCTTTCATCCCCACACTGCAACACTTGGACATCCCATTTCTCGTCGCACGTTCAAGGCGTTTCTACCACCAGATTTCACAATGTCGCAACGACAACTTGCACGAGACATGCAGGTCGAGTTCCAGGCTCGGGTACGTGTCGATCCGACTATGAGAGTCTGAGAGTTCGCAGGTACTGCCCATACAGTCGCGCGCATTTGCTAACTGTCGCTTATTGCAGTTCAACGCCAAGCAGGCCCGGCGCGAGGCCCAAAAGGCTGCCAAACAGGACGGTGAGCTGCGAAAGCAAATCCAGACCGTACGTGCTCCCTGCCGGTATCTTGCGCTATGAGATCTTCCAATTTTGCGTTTCAAACGATTGTGCTGTTGATGTTCGTTTCTTCTGACACTTGTGGCTTTGTAGCTCCTGAAAAAGGGTGAGACCCAGCAGGCCGCGCAAAAGGCACGCATGCTCTTAGCAAAGCAGGCCATTGCCACCCAGATGGACCAGGCTGCCGACATGGCGGAGCTGTCTGTCGCCCAGATCCAGGCCAACAACGCCATGAACCGCATGACCAACATGATGGCCCAGTCGTCGCGCACCATGAGCCGCGCCCAGCGCAGTGTCAACCCCGAAAAGACCATGGTGACCATGGAACAGTACCGCACGCAGAACGAGGAATACGCCATGTCCAACACCATCTACACAGACGCGATGACCCAGAACACGTCTGTCCAGGTCTCGGACGACGCGGTGCACGAGCTTTTGGGGAAGCTGGCAGACGACGCCGGCGTTGAACTGTCCCAGGAACTCAATTCGGCCCAAGTCAGCAAGACAGAGCCTGTTCGTGAGTCGGCCACCACGGAGCCTACAGCGGAGGAAGAGGACGCTCTTCAGCAGAGACTGCGGGCGCTTCGGGCATGATATAGCATGATGTATGCACGTTCGCTGCGACACTCGACATGCTGCATTCCGTGGCGACATCTGGACGAGGATTGAGATTTGCATTCTGGCGTTGTTGGGTGTTTTTCTGATTTTCTTTTCTGTCCCTTTTATCGGCGACTTTCGTACATCGACTATTTTTGCGTTTTTACTGCCTGGAATGCCCATGGTTTTCGTTCGTTCCTTTTGTCGTTTCTTGTGACCGTTATTCCGTATGTATCAAGGACTTTGCGAAATAAGATGACTTGCATCCAATAACCACCATGCCTTTACGTAAGGATGACCACGTCTACAGATACAAACTAGGAACCGTTGTAATGTTCCTCATGATGGATTCCTTGACACCATTCATCTTCGTTTCCAGCGTTGTGTCGCCGACAATCCGTCCAATGTTTCTAACCTCGCGGCATGTCTCTTCAAGGCGCGTGATCGTGCGGACAATGGTACCCTCTTGCTCTGCTGTCATGCCGGCGATGGTCTTGAAGGGGCTGCCGCTCGCCCACTCGTATACAACCTCCATAAGGCCAAAGTGTAGCTTTGACGACCGTTCTGAATCGTCACCAGCAGAGATGACGTGGAGCTGCTCCTGGGTGCGGATGACTTCCTTCCATATGCGATACACTTCTGACAGGCTTTTTGTTAGGCCGTTTGAGATGAACGGCGCAGTCTCGAGTTCTTGGTCGTCTTTGCCTTGGTAAACGAAGATGGAGAGCAGCGCAGCAATCTCCGCTGGCTCCAACCCGGCAAGCAGGTTGTTCAGGATCACCTCGGTGAGTACCAGTTCATCTGCTGTGCGAATCTCGCACGCCACGCGGCCTTTAAGGAGGACCACGGAGCTGTCGTTGACAAAGCCAAGGTGCTTTAAAACCGCTATGCGGCTCTGGTATTCGGGCAGCAAAGCGAGATTCGAGTCGTCCACGGCTCTCCGCATGTCTGCGAGCTTGTCCCGGATCAGCCACTCGTCATGGCGCGCTGCATACTACGTCCGGTCAGTTTTCGAATACCTCTGTCTGGAAGTGGGATAGAAGAGAGAGAGAGCGAGAGAGAGAGCGCGAGAAAGAGGGAGCGACTTACATGCTCAACAAAGTTAGGACAGTCGAGCGCAGGAGACTCTGCAACCGCCCTTGCCTTGGCCACACGGTCATCCATGTACCAAACCACGTCAACGTCCCGAACCTTTTCAAGGCTGACCTCGTCCCACACAGCAGAAGACCATGATAAGTCCAAACCAGTAAGCTGGGCCTCGATGTCTGTCAGAAGCTCGTCGGGCCGCCGTCCAATGGATACCACGTGATGAGAGAGATGCTCAATTTTTCCCAATGGCACCTGCACTCTGCGCATTCGCAGCTTGGAAGCACCCGGAGCAAGGACCGGCCGCCAATATTCCCGGAGCGGAGGGACGAAAGAAAGCTTGTCTGTTTCATCTGGGGCCATTCTTGGGGGCACAATCTCAGCCATGCCCACGGATGGTGTTTCACTTTCCATCGCCGGTTTTGACAGGCCGTCTGTGATTACGCCAATGGCATGCACGCCCTGTTCGTTGACAAACACGGCAACGCGGCCCTGGCAAAAGACGGATGGCCCAATGACTGGAGTCTTGAGCAGCTTCTGGTACATCTGTGCTGTGTCCTGCCGATACGTTTCTGCTGCGAGATGGCAGGAACCCATCGTGTTCCCACATGCTTCACAAAACTCCCGCGACTGAACCTGTGTCGCAAGGTCCTTCTCCAACAGCCGAATCTGCTCCTCGTGCTCGGAGCGACCATTTTGGGTCGCATGCTCGGAGAAGGAACGCTTCATCATGTCCTCGACCTTGAGTGTCTCGACACGGTGGAGGCTAAGGATCATGTTGTACGTCAAGCGAAACTGCGACGTAAGGCGTGTGGGTTGACCCAGAATCAATCCTTTGAGTGTCTCGGCCGCAGGAACGTCGCGGTTTTCGCTGGTCGATACGATGATCGCGGTGCCCACAGTGTCGAGGCCGCGGCGACCTGCCCGGCCGGCCATCTGCGTGTACTCGCCAGGCGAGAGTATGCGGCGCCTCGTACCGTCAAATTTGCGGTGGTCGGAGAACACAACCGTGCGTGTGGGCAAGTTCAGGCCAACAGCAAAGGTTTCGGTAGCAAAGAGAACTTTGACCAGCGACTGCGCAAACAACAGCTCCACAATCTCCTTCACGATGGGCAGAAGGCCGCCATGGTGGACGGCAATGCCCCGTGTGGCCATGTCGCGCAGGCGCGTAATCTGTGGCAGCTCCTGGTCTTCTTTGGTCAGACGAGCAATGGACTTGGCGTAGATTGAGTGAATACGTGTCTTTTCTCCCGCATCACAAAAGTCCAGGTTGCTGAGCGACATGGCGTATTCTTCGCACCGTGTTCGGGAGAAGACAAATATACAGGCCGGCAGCAGTGACGCCTTGCGTAGGTACCGGACAACGTCAAGCCATAGAGTTTTTTCCTGCGCAATGGAGGAACCTCCGGTGGCCCGGCCGGCGCGGCCCATATGTCCAGGATTGTGTGACGCTCGAGGGGGGCCGTTGCCACCGCCTCGTGCATTTCCGCCGCGGCCGCCACGGCCGCCTCCCCCACGGCCGCTTCCCCCCCGTTGCTGGCTGTTTCCGCCACGCACAGGGATGCCACGGCCCGAACTGCTTCCACCGCCGGTACTGCCACCGCCACCTGCCGTTGTCTCTCCGGAGGCGATCATCTTTGCCTCCCGGTAGCCCTTTTCTACCCATTTCCTGTCGGAATCAACAATTTTTTGGGTCGTTTTCCCGCTCCATAAGTAGTGCTCGAGGGGTACCGGCCGCTTTGGGGTGTTTATGACATACACGTCTCGTTTCTTGGTGCGACCGACCCAAGAAGCAAACTCATACGTGTTCGGCACGGTGGCTGACAGCAAGATGAGCGAAACCTGCTCCGGAAGCATGATGATGACCTCTTCCCACACCACACCACGTTCCGAGTCACTCACGTAGTGTACCTCGTCGAAAATAACAAACTCCACCTCCCGTAGCAGATCGGACTGGCTGTAAAGTTTGCTGCGCAAAATTTCCGTTGTCATGATGAGACATTTAGCTTCTTGGTTGATCTGCACATCGCCAGTTAAGATGCCTACATCGTCGAATATGGTCTTGAAGTCTCGGAACTTTTGGTTGCTCAGAGCCTTGATTGGGGACGTGTAGATGGCCTTTGTCTGGTGCTTCTGAGCCAGGGCGATGGCATATTCGGCAACGACTGTTTTGCCAGCCGACGTATGGGCGGCCACGAAAACAGAATCGCCAGACTCGAGATGGTAGATTGCCTCTTTCTGAAACGGATCCAGCTCAAATGGCCACTCGCGTGCCATCTGGCCAGGAATGAGGCTGCGGAAATTCGACGATTCGGCCTCGAGATCAACCATATGAGCCCATTCCCTTCGGGATTTCTTTGCTGCCATTGTGCCAAGTGGCTCGCTTGTTTGCAAGGAGGGAAATTCGACAGGCAAGAGCTCATCTACATCGGCATCAAACCGAGCAATACTTTCGTCGACGTCACCGTCAACGTCCTGGTCATCAACATTATTTTTGACCTGCGTCGTGTTGTTTGACGCGTCGGCGACTCCAGTTTCGATAGCGGCTGCATCATCCTTCACTGAGGATCGCTCAAGATCACCTTCAATCTCTTTCGTCGTGTCTGCGTCGTGTATAGGCATCTTTCCAGGTTTTGCCTTCGGCCTTGGCCGCTCGTCCGAGAACCGGATGCCGCGCTGAAGCCCCGGTGCCACGGCTAGGAGGCCACCCGAGCCTGCCTGAACGACCCTCTGCAACCCAGACGCATCGGTCCTGGTGCTTTCCCTGGCAAGAATGGATTTTTGAAGCCATTGCTCTTCGGCATCGGCACCAGCGCCGTTGGCACTGCCGCTGCCAATCGAGAGTGCAGCGTTAGGGTTGACGTCCTGGTTATCGCCGCCTATATCCCTGGGCGCTGCGACCTCTTCGTAGGCGATGATTTGGAAGTTCCTGCCTCCTCGGTAAAAGAGTGTCTGGGTACCGATGTCGGGGGCGTCGATTTCGAACAGGAGCGATTTGTCCACCGCCAGGTCCCAGCGCCTGGTAAACAGTTAGAGGGGAGAAGATAGGGTTCGTGCATGTTCGTTGGTACGGAAAGGAGGTAGACGTACTGTTGGGTTCTTTCAACAAGCTTCTCTGGGATTTCTTTTGGCGGTTGTAGAAAAGCTGTTTCTAGCTGTTTCTTTCGTTCTGCCGAGCTCAATGCCCGACGCCGCTTAGGTCGACGCGTAAACAAAACATTGTCTATGCTTTTAAATTCTTCGTCCTCGGCTCGACAATGAATGGTCTCCATACTTGCAGCTCCGTGCCGGTAAAGAACCAATATATGTATGAGGTGGCAGCTCTAATGGCATTTTTCGTCTCTCGTCGCAAAGTAAATAGTGGGGTAAGATGCTGCGACGGGATCGATGCTGTTTAGGGTGCCAAGTTCCACAAGGCTGTTTAGCTGCAGTTAGAAAGCCAATCGCTCAATTCGTATGCACGCTAACTAAATAATCGCTTAATGTCATAAGCCGTTACACGGCGGTTCGCGCCTCCATCCTCAATATTACGATAAAAATCATGATGCCGCCTCTGCTTCAGCAATTAGGGCATCCAAGTCATCGATATCGTCCTCCGGTACCGGTATCCGCGGCGGCAGATACTCTTGGGGCCCGTGAATCTCCATGGCGTCAGCCATGAGGGCGTCGAGTTCGCTCTCGTCTGGTATTTGTTCACGACCTCCGTCTCCTGCGCTCTGTATTTGAGGGGCTGGCTGCAAAGAATCGTACAGGTCCTCGTCCAATAGGTCATATGGGACCGCATCTGACCCTTCCATTTCTGCGTTCGTTGGTCTCGCTTGTGGTTGCTGTTGCGGATGGTGTTGTTGTTCGGCGCCTTCATCTAGCTCGGTCGAAGGCAGGACTGGCTCACCGTCCAGTTCATCCTGCGCATCCTTGGGCTTCGATTCGTTGATCCATTCCATGCGCATTTTGCCCATGCTCGCTTTGTGACCCTCCTTCTCTACCATGGCGAGAGCATCGGCAAACCGAGCCTTCGGGAACAAGTCGTCTAGCCACAGCTGGTACATGGAAAGAAGCCTCGAGGCATTCGAGAACTAGAGCATTTCGTAGTCAGCATTCGTGTCCCCTGACGAGTCTTCCAGACGGGTGTGAAAATAGTAGCCGGCAACGAGGTAACTCACTTCATGTCCCTTGCCTTTAAGCTTCAGAACGCGCGCTTGTTTGCGTAAAGCTGGAATGCCTTTTGAAGAAAGAAGCCTGACATGATGTCAGTCCGGGCTTCTGAGGCGGGTGCAGTCACGGGGTCAGCAAATGGAACTGTACATACCGGGACTCGTCGAGCTTCACACGAGGTTCTCTGGCCCGTTTCTTGACAGAAACCTCTTCGTCGATGCCAAGACCGGCAGTACCGTTGCTCTTCGTCTGCTGCGTCCCTGCAGCTTTTGACTTGGAGCTGGGTCCAGATTGTTCGTCGTCCGAGATCAGGCCGCCAAAATCAGCAAAGTCATCTGGTATGTAATCACCATACGTTTCTGCGGCCCGTTGAGGCGGTCGTCGGACACTTGGGGAGGCCATTGTGATACCGGATGTAAAAATAAATAAAAAAACCCTCCAAAAAAACAGAACCCAGAGTACGGTCGAAAGACTGCAAAATGAACAAGCAGGATGCCGTAACTGGATTCTGTTTCGATATGTATTGCACTTGTGGAGACGGTGGTAGCGGCGAGGGACGACGCGTCTTGTTGTCGCGTCTGGTACTAATTGATTTTTGGGAGTAAGCTATCGTTCAAAGAGAGGCCTCAAATGACTAATCCACTGACATTTGATGGAATATGATTGGCTAAGTGTATTGATTTTCGTAGTTCTTTTTTTGAGAAAAATAATTACGTAAATGCTGCATCTCGGCCTGAGGCACCAATCTTCGGTTATTTTCATCCTCGAATGATCCCAACGACAACGAAGCAGAGCCAATTGACAGTGCATCATCGCTTTTCTCTGGCCAAACCATGGCGAACGCAACACCGACATACATCCCAAGCAGGGTGGTCCAGTCCGACTATCCTGTGAGACCGCCCGCCTCTGGCTATTGCCTATAAAAACTCTTTCTGCTTGGTACTAACATATCGCGATCTTTCTCATAGCTCATCGACAATGACCCGTAAGAGCTTCCCTACACCGATCCGTCCCTCGTATTCGACGACAATGACAGTCCTTGCTTTCATCGCGCGGCGCTTTGCGACCCTTGGCGGTTCCGGTGCTAACCTGCCTATCTTGTCTAGACACTTCAAGCGGGTGATACGGTATGCCCGCCCGTCCGACTACGCTCACGGCGCAGTTGCGGCAGCGGCAGGGCCCGGCCTGCTCCTGGCCATGGAGAGATTCGCGCCGTCCTATGTCGGAAAGGGCGGCTTTGCACAGGCCATGAGACTCGGTGGCTTCCTTGGTCTTGCGGGCGGTTTTATCTACTTCTACCAACGATCTTGCTGTACGCTTTTCGTGCCCCCCCCCCCCCCCCCTTTGCGATTTCTCGTGACTCAATTGTCGCCTTTTACGAACGAGGCGTTTATAAAGGCGGCGAATCTGCAATGCAAACTGCAAACTGACATTCTTTGTGCTTTACCCAGTACGGTTTTACGGTATGTCGGAGAACGCGCGCGAAGTCGACATGGATATGCGGGAAATGGTGGCCAAGGTCAAGGCGGGCGAGCCTCTGTACGGCGAGAGCCGGCTGTCGACAAACATGCAGGGTGTCGCAGCGCGCCAGTCGAGGTATTCGGCGCTGTTTATGCATGTGGTGCCGTGGTTCAACTTTGTCAACCACAACCAGCATGGTGTCGACACCGCAAAGTATTACCAGCAAGCAGAGCGGGAGCTGGAGGCTGAGCGGGCAGGAAAATAGGCGAATGGTGTGCGACTTCGTCATGGGAGGTGGCGCGGAGTTGAACGCATAGATCTGTGAGAGATTTGGGTTTCTTGCAGCTGGTCACAAACCTACCATGTTGAGTACGCGTAGGGCAGGCTACTCTTCCAACACAAATGGAATATCCATTAAGCATTTTGTGAACTTGAACGAGCATTGTTTTCAGTGCGTCTCGACATCTGTGCGGCGCAGTTGGCACAGTTGTGCTTCTGTGTTGTTTGATCTATGACAGACTGTTTCTACTCACTTGCAAGGTAAACGGGGCTATTCTTCGCAATCGCAATTGCTAAGCAAACTTTTTGCTGCACTTCTTTCCGTAGCTTTCTCTTTAACTTGTCATTGTTTGACCCTTCTGTTCCAGTCGCATCCCGGTCGGATTGCATTATATGATCGAATACTGACATTAAATACCCCGTTCTTTCGTTTGGGGATGAGTTAAATAGGAATGTTTGGAGGAATATGTCGCATAAGGCAAGTTTTGGTTTAGAGGGGGGTTGGTGAAGCGAGGACAGTCGTTGTCTAGGCCTATTCGTACCGTTGCAGCGCCTAGTGCGGCCGGAGTTAGTTCACGTTTAGGCAACATCCCGCCACTAAATCTTACTTTTTCTTTTGCCAACTCGCGACGATACGAAGGGCTTGCAAAACGTAGCCAAGACACACCTCGTTGACATGATTTACACCACAGAGGCATATTCCAACGACAGGCCTACGGACAAACATACCTTTTACCTTTGGAGGACCGCGGCGGTGACGCGGCAGGGCTCGTTCTGTGATGGCCGGCGGCAAACGACGTCGCGATGAACAATACGATTATAGCTTCGACGCCCACGACGGTGGTGCAAGCAGTATACCCGTCCAAGCATCCGGAAAACAAGATACGCATGCAGCCACGACAAAGAGACCAAAGCTGTACCCGGCATCGCAGGCCAGGAGCGTCCGCGCCACGGGGCGGCGAGGCTCTCAAGTTGCCTCTACAAGTTCCTTTCTCTCGCCAGGCACAGACTGCCTTTCACCGCTCTCCGACGAACTGCTCATTCGCATTCTCGGCAACCTTGACATGACGGATCTCCTCTCCCTGGCTTCTGTCTCGCGTCGGTTCCACTGGCTTGCAGATGATTCACAACTGTGGAAAGCAATCTACTACGAGCGATATGTTCTTCCACGCGCTCTGGCGATCCCGGGATTTCGGGCCGGCTCTTTGATTTCTACAAAAGGAACAGCCGGTGAGACAGCCGACGCGGGTCAGCTTTTCTCGCTGTCCCAAACGCCAGGCCCTGGGTCGGGCTTTGGCCATGGTACCAAAGACGGCCGTCAAACGCGAACACCATCAAGCGCAGTTCGTGACCGCTTTGGAAGCTGGAATCGAAGCGTGGCAACCAGTTGGAAGCAAAAATTCAAACTCCGGCATAACTGGGCAAGGGGGAAATGTGCTGTGGAGGAACTACGTCCCGATTACGGCGCGGCGTACGACGGCCCGTCTGCGTCACGAGATGGAGGGGATGGTGGCGGTGACGTTGATGCTCCAGGCGGTGGGTTTCATCAGATGCTGCTCAAGGTGATAGATGGCATCGCCGTGACCGCAGACCGGCAGCGTGGCTTGCGCGTGTGGGAACTGAAATCTCGCAGCCTGGTCGCGACAAGCGACTTCTCGCAGCGAAGTAGTTCTGCGACCGCGGCAGAAACGTTCAGCAAAGCACGCAATGGAGGCCACTCTGAAGAATACGGTGCAGATCAGTCGCGTGATGAAACCAGAAGCCATGGCAGGGACGACGTTACATTTTTGACGCCGAGATCCTTGGCAGTGGATGTCGGTACCAATGTCCTGGACATTGCCGTCGGATTGCTGGATGGAGGCTTCGATATATGGCAATTTGATCTTGCAAAGAAAGCGCTGACGCGGCGCTTTTCACATCCTGCATCGAGCAGCGGCCCGCTGGCGGGCATTGCCTACTCGCACCCCTTTGTGCTCACCGCAACCGACTCCGGACTCATCTCGCTGTATGCATTTGCGCCTGAGGCCAAACAAAACGCTGCACAACGGGTGGTTGGATCGTCTAGCGTGCCCAGCGACCTGGGACTCAGCGCACCGCACCTCCTGACGTCGTTGCGGTCGCACACGTCAAGAGCCCCTCTCGCTTTGTCTATCCGAAAACTGGCACTCGTGACGGTTGCATCAATTGTGTACACGTTTTCGACTCGCCAAGGATGGTCAATCGGTATCCAAGATCTACACGTGAAGACGGACGGGCTTGGAGATGGTGAGGGGAAAGAAGCGGGTGGCTTTCGACTGCCTACCGTTGTTGCAACACGCTTGGCCAGCACATTGCCGGTCCGTACCCATGAGCGAGCCTCTTCGCATGCACGCACAGGGCTACGAAGGACAGGAACGCCGTCGTCCAGTCCTCTTCACTCCGAAACAACCCATCGTTCCTCCGTCGGGCTTGCTCCTATGAAAGCAGCAGCGCCTGTGCCTCCATCCGGGCAAAGACAGATACATCGGGAAAGTCCGGTTCGGCATGAAGATGAGGTCGATGGCGGACCCACCACCCTCTGCTACTCGCACCCCTATCTGCTGGCCAGCATGCCTGACAACACACTGATTCTCCATCTCTGCACGTCAAATGCTTCGACGCTGACCATATCGGCTGGCATTCGGCTATGGGGCCACACGTCCGGGATCAGTGATGCCGAAATAACGGCGCGCGGGAAGGCTGTCTCGGTGAGCTTGCGGGGTGAGGAGATGCGTGTCTGGGAGCTTGAAGGGCGGCCCGCTGCCGAACGCGGCCGCAGCGTGGCCATACGGCCACATCTACGCGACGTGGCGTCGAGTCGTTGGAGCAGTGATGACGACGGTAGAGAGTCATCGACGCGCGACTGGGACGAACGCCGTAATTGGGTTGGGTTTGATGATGAGATGGTCATCGTACTGAAGCAGTCGCGCGGTGGCAGAGAAACGCTATTGATGTACGATTTTACGTGAACCATGTAATTTCCATTCTACTGCTAGAGCGAATGACAGCATTTGGATTGCTTCACGCACTTGGAAAGATACCGGCTTCGATAATATACAAGAGTATCTGAAACTGTGCGATTGACGCCAGCATATACCATTTTCTATTCTTTCTTTCTTTCTTTCTGTTTTTTTTTTTTTTTTTTTTTTTTTTTACGACAGCTGTGCCTGTGCAAAGTCATAAATGGAACACTCTGCGCACCTACTCTGTCGCCCGCTGTGTTGTGCTGGCCCGCGTCATTGAAGTAACGAGTTCGCTAGGGATGGATGCGACCAAGACCACGTCGCATGATGCTTACTCTTTGCTCCGGGCCGTACATGTGCATTTCGGAGGGCGATCGCTATACCAAAGCGGTAAAGCGGGCGGGAAGGCATGCGGCACGGCTACTTGTCGATAAGATAGGATAGGGCTGAAACTAGACAATTTGCATTCGTGCAGACTGTTCTGCCAACTTCACCGCCTTCAGCTCGGCGAACGCGACGGTGGGGGGGCTTCATGGAAGGTCGAATGTGAAGCTAATATGCAACTACGACGTACGAACGGCATGGAAGAGTCCTTCGGATCAGAGCCTCAACGAGATGTCCTTTCAATAGAAGAGATGTGTAATTCAGTTTCTAGGTACAATTTGTGTGTGACAAAGAATAAACAAACAAGCCCCAGACAAAAGGAATCAGAAAGGTGGAAAGACCTGGTAAGAGGGTAGCGCAAATCAGCGATGTGTACTGAATCGAGACGTGAGCAGAATTAAAACAGACAGGAAATACAAGCTGGGATTTGGACAAACTGGAGGCCCGAAAGACACCATGACAGCAAAAGCTCGACAAGAACAGTTTGCAACTTGGGGCCAAACAAGGCGTACAACGGGAGACATATGCTCAGGTCTGGGATACCGAGCAGGATATTCCGAGTAGGATATTATCAGGAAAAGAGAAAGAGAAAAAAGAAAAAAAAAAAGCTAGTAGCCGAAGTGCGATTACCTTGAAACAGTATCTGCGAAAAATAACAACCAAGAATAAAATAAAAAGCCATACAAGGACGAATGAAATGCATATAAGAGGTAGATGGAGACGGGTATCGTTGTGTTCTGAGCAACTAACTGGGCTCGTAGGGGTATCAATCGTGAAAATCGTCCGTTCCCAACACGTGTAGTAAGCAGCCAGTGGAGAGCGTGCTCGTTCCGTGGTATGCTGCCTGTACGATCCAAAACAAGACAAGAAAAATACAAACAAGAAACCGACAAAAACCAAACGTGAGCTAGCCCAAACAAAAAGGCAAACGCAGGTAAGAAAGGAAAACAAATCGAGACAATGGGGAGAGAGAAAGGACGAATCTGTTCAGAAACGGAAAAAGACCGCGTGCAGACGTGCCCCGACTAGATGCCCCGACTAGATGAAACGGGCAATGTGCTCCAGCTTTAGCCAGCCTACTTTTTCGTAGGCCGTCCAGAGCTTGGAGGCCTTGTTCACGTCGATTTTGCAGGCCTGCTGGGCATCGGTCTTGCGAAACTCCTTGGGCGTGCGCGCACACTCCAGACGCCGTATGAAGATGCGGCGCTTGCTCGTGAGATAGGTGGCACAGTCCAGGCGGAGGCTCGCGGCAAGGCCGACCTCGTCCCGGTGCAGCAGGTGCACGAGGGGGTCGCGCGACAGATCGAGCGGGGTGCCCTTCCAGTCGACTTTGAGATTGTTTGTCCGCTCGGGAAGCGTGGACAGCGGGGGGCAGTAGTCCTCGAGCGCCATGAAGTCCTTGTCCTCGCGATTTGGCGCCGACGTCCGGATTCGTGGCTCCGGGGAGGCGCCGGGCACACGCTTCCCGCCCTGGCCGCCGCCGCTCGATGCAGGACGCGGCGTCCCATTGAGCAGGGGGGCAATGTGTGTTGGGGGATTCCCATGCGGCATGGTAGCGGTGCGGATGGTCCGTTTTGCAACGCGATGGTCGATGCTCTGGACCGGTTGGAGAAGCGCCATCTCCTCGCGCTGGGAATATGCGGTGTGGGACGGCTGCGATGCTGGGCGAGCCCGTGGAACACGGGAAGCGAAAGTCCGGCGCACCGACGAAGACGTCGCTGGCTTCGATGCGGCGGGGGTGCGGGACAGGGAGCGCATGGCCGCACGTCGGAGCTGGTCGTCTTTCTTCAGCTGCTCCCTCTGCACCTTGAGCCAACTGCGCGGGTCCGCCTGGAAATGGCTCATGACATTGGACACCATGAAGAGCGCAGGCATCTCAGAGCTGTGAGGCGGGGCAGGGACGAGCTCGAAAAGTGCGAGGTTGTTGTCTCTGGGGACATTGCGATGTCCGTCTTCTTTGTCTGAGAAGAGGGGGCGAGACTGCAAGGCAGAGGTCGCCGTGTCGCTTGCGGCCGGGAAGAGGATAGGGTCCTGGTTGCCCTGTACAACAGTATCGATCTTTTGAACATGGGGCGTGATGGGAGGTGAGTACAATTCCGGGTGGGGGTTTTTGGCCTTGCTGTCTAGGACGTTGCTGTGGACATCAAAGCTGTCCAAATGTTCGGCCTCTGGGGGCGAGATCAAGTTGCTGACGCCAAGAGTCTTCGTGGTCATCGACGGACCGGCAGGGTTGCGATCCCTGGCTGCGCAGGCGTCCATGTCGGAGTGGACAACTGGGCTGTACGCAGGATCAAAAGAATGGAATGTGTGTTTCGGTGTGACCGGTAGGTAGGGCGAGGTCTGGAAGGATGTGGTGGACGATGCCGTGAGAAGCGAGGAAGCGGAAGAGGATATGGACGAAGAGGAGGCGGACGGCTCCATGGCAATGCTCCTGTCGCTGTCGATGGCATTCATATCGGTCTGCGAAGCCGAGCCAGAACCAGCCGATTTTAAGTTCTGCGGGGGCGAGGTCGGATAGCGAAAATCGGCCATGGCCATGGCAAAAAGAAAGCGTGTGTTGGTAGTTGGCAAATCGCTGTTGGTTGGAAGCAAAATTGAGTTCAAATCGGCGCGCAATTGCTGAAAAAAAAGGAGGTGATGAGAGAGCGAGTACAAGCGATGGCCGACGAACGTGAAGAGGAGAACAGTGCAGTGGGTGAAAGCCGCAGGGCAAACAATTGTCACGGAGATAAACCGACTCGGTGGCCTTTTCCGGGCGAGCGAAAGCTCTCGATCGGAACGAGCCTCAGGTTGTCTCGTCAGTGTTCCCAGGGGATTGGTGGGTGAGACGATGCGTGGCGAGGGAAGCAGGCAGCAGCTGGGAGAATGTGGATTTGTCAGTTGGCAAGAAATGGACGGAACTTGCGAGCGCGGGCATTGGCGTGGCGCTCGACGGGCGAGAATGGCGACGAGAGTGGGAGAAAGAGTCCAGGTTCCCGGAAACGAGAAGACGGAGGTTAAGAAGCAAGGAAGAATGTCGAGACGGATGGAAATGAAGAAGTGCAGTTGCGTATTTCTAGTGCGTTGTTCTGACGCCCTGTTGTTGGCAGGCGCGGATGCGACTTGGGCGGTTTCCAAGTTGGGAAGGGACGATGACAGCCAAAGTGGCGACGAGCCTAGTGGGGGGCGGGAAACAGCGAGGAAGGGACCAGCCAGCACAATGGAGTGGCCGGTCTTGTCAATCGGGTATTTACAGTTTCTTTTCTGCTGCAAGCGGAGAGACTGTCAACGTGGCAAAAGACGAGTGAGAGGACGAGAGAAGAAGGAAAGGCAACGACGAATCCAAAAGCGTAGAGAATAAAGGGAAAGAAGAAGAGCCGCACGAGCAAGGCGCCCATGAGGGCGCGAAATGATATAAGGAGGCATCCAAACAGAACAGCGTTCGACCAGCGCTACGGCTTTGACAGAAATACAGACATACAGGGCCTGATACGGAGGAACGAGAGGCTACATGCCCATCTTTTGCAGCGCAAACTAATTCGTACGAATCGACCTGTCAGGGTGAGCGTCGCATGACAGAAGAGCGCTGTTGCCTATTCCTTGCGTTCTTGCCTGTTCTGTGTTATTGATAGGGCCCTGGGGGGCCAAAGTGATTAGCGCGGGGTTTGGGCACAGTGAGTTGGTCAGGGGGATTGAGAGGATGAGTGAAATGGGAAGGAGGGGGTGTGGATAGAGTAAAGCGTCCGGCAGCACCCACCACCGTCGGCGGACTGTGAGAATGCCCTCGACAGCGAACGGTACCACGACAGGATAAATATGGCGGTTTCCAAGTTTCCATGCTTCTGAACAGCACCAAGTTGGGTTGTCGTTTTCAGCGACAGGGAGGAAGGCGCGTAGGAAGGCTCGGAAGGGTTCTTTGTGTACCAACAGGCATGCTATGTACACCCCACCCCTCTTTTCTTCCCGAGGAGTCACAGGAGGAGGCGCATGGGGTTGACTTGTTCGTACGGGGTACCTTTCGTGATGACAGTATGCGACGCATGGCGGCGGTACCAGAGCAGACGAGGCGCCGTGCTTTAGTCGCGCGCGCTGCGCGAGCTGCGCCGGCCCTTTACACTCCTGTCATCCGCTCTTGATCGCAGACAACCCGCAGGTCAAGTACAAGTACAAGGAGGGACAGGACAAACGGTGGCCCAGTACGATTTACAATACGCCCGGGACTCTTCTGTGACTATTTTCTCGTCTGGCAGGCTGTCAGGTCTGGGAGAGAGAGGCCGAAGGGCGAGTGTCGCATCCTGTCCTCCGTGGATGTGATGCTAACTGCACCCCCCTCCTCGAACGGGGTTTCTTTTCCTGTCGAGGTTGTCCCATTGGTAGAATCATGTAATAGTCATTCGGGCTGGTCACCAGCACTGGTCTCTCCCACTGGTCAATGGCAGCCACCCCATCTCGGCCGACCTGTCAGGCAAAAGACCCATTGCTGATCCTGTCTTCTGGCATTCACCAAACACCGTGTGCCAGGGAGGTGCGGCATGTGAGATAAGATACAGCGTTTTGCCTTAATTTCAAGAAATGGCGCCGCATGCGATGAGGCGAGAAGGAGGAGGGGAGAGGGGTTGCGATTGGAAAAGCCGACTTGGGTGGTCAAGACTCAAGACGCCCGGAGCGACAAAGGCCACTGAGATGGAGGCAACAGAGTCCGCGGTAGGGCGATGGGCGCAATTGACCAAGCGCGTTGCCATGATCAAGGGCATCGACTGGACAATGAGGAACAGGAGGCAACGATGGCAATCATCGTCGCGCCTCAACCCCGCAAGCCGCGTCGCATGTCCACAAGGGCGTGTCGACGTAGGCGTTCGCCGTCACTGACAGATACGGCATCGGGAGATCGCACGCACTTGGGGGGGATGCTCTGCGTTCGCTGTGCCTTTCCCGATCACCGGCAAGATAAACAGCCGTGAACAGCATTGCGGCGTAGGCCGACAGGGCCATTTTTGGTACTAGGTGGAGGTTTATTGGGTTGTGTTTGGCTGATTCGAGAAGATGGTGACATGACGGACAGCATTAGGCTACGTTATGTGAATGCGATGCAGTGCAGTCATGGGTGCCGCGAGGCCAACCATTCAGACGATCCTCCCAGCGGGCATTGGGCCTGGTCTCAATGTGCTGTCGCTGGAGTTCCGTGAGCGTTGTGGCAGTATGTTCCAAATTGTAGAGTGTCCAAATTAAAGGATTTGGTTTTGGCACAAGCAAGATGGGACTGGTGGGAGACGCGGAAGACGGGCAATCTCATGTGAAGTGTCCCAAGTTCATCGCAAAATCGAGACAAGGCCAAAACAGAAAGCAGAAAACAGAACACAGAACGAGCGGAGAACAGCGCCCAAACACCAAGAAAAAGGAGGAAGAAAAAGACATTAACTTCTCATTCATGGGCCCTCCCCCTCTCCCCCCATTTCCAGCACGAGATGCATACGTCCACGGACGACGACAGCAGCCTACAGCCACGAAGCGCGATCCTGCACAGCTTCCCACGCCAACGGGCCAACACCAGACAATCTGCAGTGCCACTCAATCGTCAGCGACGGCAAGTAAATTGGCCAATGACGAAACCATTGGCCAGCCTAGGTCTGGCCAGGGCAACAGGGCCTTGTGCTGCAACAATGTTCCAAGCCCTGTTGAACGCCGCGAAGAGTATGAGCTATGACATATTCTCGTACTTTATTTAACTGTGAGTCTTATGAGTCTTTTGTGAGTCATAGGTCGATGCAAGAGCGACAAAAGGAAGAGAAATTGAGACGCTGAGTGAACAAGATTGCTGAGGAACATACGAATGAGAGAATACGAATGAGAGAACACAGACGAGAGAGAGGAAATAACAAAGTTGCCGTAAGAGAGCGACCAACAGCCGTCACAGCTACCCAGACATACAAATGGAGTCTTAACACAAAACGGCCACTCTGAGCGCCACCCCGAGCAAGTCGCTCTAGAACGAACCTTCTCAACCTGTCATTCGGTGGATGTCGTATAAATCCGAAACAACGTATCTTCTTACGGCTTAGCGTGCGCACCCCGCTCTTATATCGATAGAGGGTCGAGAGGGTCGAGAGGGTCGAGAGGGTCTAGGGTTCACTGAAGAGGTCCCTTTCTCGCTGTTCACACTGCTCCGCCGGAAACATAACGCTACGATTTGTCGTTATGGCACCTTGGGCGACTGAAAGCCGGCCTGCTCGGACTCCGATGCTAATCTCCAAACTCCAGGCGGCAAGGTCCAGCATCGGCATTTCTTTCCAGCATGCTGATGGTCCTCTCGCCGGCTGCTCAGTGTCTCAGTGGCCGGACTTACCGCCATGCAGAGCTGCCGACGACCATCACCTGCTGATGATGCTTCAATGTCGTCCCGTAAACGTAGTATACGAAGGATTCTGGAAGAGAGGGGAATGGCGGACCCGTTGCGCCGAACCTGTGTGCTGTCGTTGAAGAGCAGCCTTGCTGTCTCTACGCGAATCACCTTCTCTCCGTAGCTACGTTTATACTGGGTAGATCAAGCACGTGCGGTGACTGCACACCATCAGAGCCTGCGCCCCCTCAGAGGTCTTACGAAAGCGTCCCGAGCCAGCCTCCCTATGTACAGCATACAGGTCAGCCGATACGCCAATCGCGCCCCGTTGCGCTCACTCCCTTCACACTCCCCTCTTGTGTTCTATTCCTGGACATCCCACCGCCAACACGATGCCCCATGACCGAGCGTAACTGCTTCTCAGCTATCTGCTTATCACCTGCCCAGATAGGGCCACGTCCCCTCGTACAAGGTAATTTACGCATTGCCAACGCGTGCTGCCATTGCATCTTGCCCGCCTGTACAGAGTACTGGAGATGTGGACGACCCTGTTGCTACTGTGGGGTTCATCCATTGCGCCAATACTACCGTAGCTGCCCCTGCAGGGGAGATCGCCGTTCGCGATGCTGCCGCATACCGTGTGCTGTACGGGGCGACGGCCGTCTTTGCTTGGATTCGTCGAGGTGGCTTGGACCTGACGGATCCGGCGCCGACATGTTGCGACAAAGAGCGTTGGCGTTGGTCCCCTGCAGAGGGACTCGGTCCATGTTGTCTCCCTTTGCTCGTTGGCCGTTGGTTGGAAGCTGGATGGCGATTGCTTCCATTTCCGGTTCAACGCTCTTTGCACAACGTGGCCAACAATTGTGCATCTCCCTCCACACACCTGTGTGGTCCGAATGGTGCAGTGTCTTCGCTATCGTTCTCGCCATGGATACGTTGGCAGACCGCTGAACCGCATTCCTTGTTTAAAGACGCACATCGTCTGAGACACAGCACCCACTACAATAGTCACCAGATCTCACTTGCGCCACTTTGTTCTGCCGTCATGACCTACCGTACACGACAAGAATTTGAAACTGTTGATGCCAAATGGCGAATCAGCATCTGGCCTGGTGTCGTGTACAAAGACGACCATTTGCCAGCCTTGCGCTCGGTCGTACATTCTGTCTCCGGCGCTGAAGGTCCGATGCAGTGGCAGTATCATGCAGAAGCAACACGATTCAATGCCTACTGATCATATCGAAGCAGCGACAGACGCTCGTTTGCAAGCCGTATTTTCACCACGTTCCTAGTATTTTTTCTGGCTGTTTCCTGTAGAACATTTCCGCCCAACGAATTGGGTACGTTCTCATTGTCTTCAGATCTGATGCCATGCGCTTGAGCGGAGGATGTCACAGCCCGACCGCGTGGGTCGTGAAAGAGCATCGCCTTTGACGAATATCGTTTTTGAGGAAGCAGGCAGTTCATGCCGCCACGGTATGCTACCGGTCAGAGTGTATGGTGATGATTCCAAACTGTAGAAAGACCAAGTATGGGATATATATTGTAGAGAAAAATGCCTTTGTAGATATCGAGCTGTTTTTCTAATGTGAAAGAGACGTCTTGGAGCACCTTTGCTATTCTGATAGTCAAGACAAGTACATCTACTACTCTTCCGACCTTAAACTGAGTCTGGATCCCTACGGGACTTTGTCACGACCATGAGTGGTGATTGTGATCTTCTGATCGGGTTGCCACGGTGAGAACATGACTGCATCCGCCTTGCTTCAACCTTGAGAACTGGACATTGACCTATGCTTCCCTGTGCGAAGCCCATTACGAGCAAGGAGGAGACGTAGAATAAAGCAAAAATTCTATACTTTGACAAACTCGGCATAGCGTTTCCATGGAAGATGGTGAGTAGAGCATAGGTTTTACCTTCAAAGTCGTTCTTGTATGCTCTCCGTCTAGTATCTCATTAAAACGCAGTGGCCATCATTTGATCATCCGCGACCTGGCGAGAGTTGTTTGTGATGCTAATAACAGTTTGTCGAGAGAGTTCGTTGCTCGCTTTGCACTATTCTCCGACAGCAGTTCGATCATGGCCTTTTAAAGGTGATATCACCAACCGACTGCATTGTTTGGCACTGAGATGCCTCATTGGCAACAGCTGAATGCTCCGTTCTGCTACATCTCGTAGAAGCGTGCGTCAAACGCGACCAAACCCTTGAAAGGGGACCCGTGTAAGCTTAAAACACGAGTTTGTTTGTGAACCGGGACACCGTCACCATCCATATCAGAGAATACAAGTACAATAAAGATATTGTAAGCAAGGAGAGGCCGATGACGGCCAGAGACTGAACGCTCCAAACGGCATACGACACCCACGAGGCTGCCCCATGAACAGCGGAAATGAGGACAAAAGTGGATATGATCATATCATGTTGCATGCAATAGCATGAGATACTTTACACATGACTCCTGGTGATGCTGTTATCAGTAAAAGTAGCCCGCTACGAACAAGAGAGCAAAAAGATGAGTTGGGAATGGGGTTCTCGATATGTCATGAAGAAATACGCCCAGGGCGTAGATGGAGGCTTAGATGGCACATGCTACCAAATTGCTATAAAACTGGACGACATGTACATAGGGTAAGCAACGAGACACCATTCGGTAAGAGTTTACTTGATGTTTGATTTTATTATGAAGGTCACGTTGGCCATAGTCTAACACGATGCACTGGATGACTCACCGTCCAGTCTTTGCGCGTTGTTTTGCTTGTCCTAGATTCTTGTAGATTATGCAATGCAATTTTTGCCACGCCAGAACGAGACTGCAACCGATTTCCCGGAGACAGAAGAAACGTGAAAAGCTACGAGGAGAAACAATACAAGGGTCGAGCCGTATTGAATTCGAACAAAACCAACTAGCTAAAATATTGAAGGGTGTTAGGACCCATATCTGAGTTAAGAGACCAGAGTACGCCAGTCGTATTGCGTTTGTTTGGCATTTTACCTTTTCTTTTACGTCAAAAGTACATCTTTTTCTATTGATGACTCGTCGCTGTAGTTTATTTACTAATCGATAGCGAGACGCTGCTCCTTGGTGCTTTTATGTTTCTTGTGTACCATGGGGCAAGAAATGAAGAATGCTCACTAAGCTCGAACTGATGGCATAACAAGATACATTCAAAAGCAATGGACGCATCCGACTCTGCTGTCCCTTCCCTTGACAGGTGCCTGCTCCTCTTGCCACAGTTTTCAATGCCGTGGTTGTGACTTTGTCACCAGCCGAGTTATATACTTCCAAAAGCTGAGATGGATGACATATAATTTTAAAGAAAAGGATTGCCAAGGTCTTCCACACCCTACGAAACGTTTACAATGTACAGTGCTGGCGGCACACAATTATTGTGCGTTTGTTTTAGCCAGTTGTCTGCGCACAACTGTCTTTAATGTAGCTGTCACCATCACGAGGCCGACGCGTATGTGGCGTCGTTTGTCCTCTTGCATTATTATTCTATTATTATTATTATTTTTATACTTTTATTTACTTTCATTATTTCGGTGTCAAGATGGTCCCCATTGTTTGGTTCGTCTCCCGACTGGAATGTTCTGGGGTGCTGCCGTTTGCCCGCCGCCGTCGAATGTGGAGGTGGGTCTGCAAAACAACTGCCCAAGTCCCTTTTTGGTGTGCGACAAGCCGGTCAGGTCTGGGGTAATGTGGGACGACAGTGGCGGCCTGTATCTCTGCCGACAAATCATAAAGAATGTGCGACTCATACGATACTATGTCAAAGTCCACATCGTAACCGCCGTCTTTGTGTTATGTGCTCGTAGTGGGCTACATCACGCGATTAAACGTGTAAATGTATGCCGGTTCGCCGTTGACCGTGTCCCTAGCTGTATATTGCAGCATCAACGCCAGCCTCTTCATTCTCATCTGCTTCTCACAACTTCTCCGCCCCTCACCTCCGCCTCCCACTGTTTCCCCAAATCTGGGAGTATATAGTGAGCGGTGGAAAGGGGGGACAACGCTTCCCTGCCCGTCATTGTGAGGCTGACTACACTGGCGTACGTTGCGTGTTGTGGTTGTTGATATCGGCTGTACGGAGTCTCCACGGGCAGATCGAGCGGAGCCGCATCTGCCGCATCTGCCTCATCTTGCATCTGGACCTACATCTCACGAACCGGGACGTAACACACGCCTCGCTGGCCCAGGATGTGCTCGCCGGCCAGCGATTCAACGATGCAGCGATGCGATCGCTGTTCTGGCTTTGTTTCGGCGTACGTTTTGCTTGATTGCCCTGTTCTATGGTCCTCCAATGTCGTGAATTTTGCCAATCGTCTGTAGGTGGCCGTGTGTTCGCCCACGGTGTTTTTCGACTCCTCTATCCCTCCAGTCCTTTTACCCAGTTCCTCTCACTCCTCATCTGCCCATACTCGTACTGTCCTCCCTGGCCATTGCTGGACCTGCCATCTGCTTCCACATCCACCCGCCTTGACCGCGGCCTGCGCGGAGATGAGCTGCGGAGCATTGGGTACGCCGTAAGCCGTAATAGACTTTGTCTGGTTTGTTTCATTCATTCTTTATTTTTATTTTCCCTTTTGCATCTGTGGAAACCGGAGACGTGGAGGCAAACCCATTTCCATTCTGCTGGGTCCTGTACTTTTCTCGGGAAGGCATTCCTCGACTGGAGTATAAGTAGCTGCGTTGACCCAGGACTCCAACGTTTGCTGGCTGTCATTTTCGTCGATTGTGTTCTTGAATATACGCTTGAGCTATCTGGACTTTCCTTTTCTTTCTCTTTCTTCTTTTGCTTCTTCTCGGTGAACTAGAACTTGACGATATCCCCGTTGTCCCGTTGTCCCGTTGTGCTTTCTGTTATTACACCCATCACCTTGCCACCGACCCCCCCTCCCCTCCCAACTCATCTACAGCCTTGCGGTATCACGATTGTCATCATGTCTCAATTAAACGGTTCATCTGTCATGGACGAGGAGAAGGGCCTTAACCGGACCCAAACGGCCGTCACCATGTCTCCGGAGTTGTTTGAGAAGGTTTGTTGACACTGGAACGAACAACGCAGTCCAGTCCCCAATGGACAATGGGTGGTCTTCTTATACTGAACGTGTCCGTCCAGCTCTATCTCACACCAAAGGTGCCGCACGCCGGCAACAACATCAAGCGGTTCGCCAACCCGACTCCGCTGGGTTTCATGGGGTAAGCCATTCAACATCCGTCGGCCCGGATAGGTCGTTGGCGTATCGCCACGTGTGTTTACCGAGAACCCTGAGCGTCTAACACGGGCCTAGTTTCGTCATCGCCGGTTTCTCTTTCAGCATGATTCTCATGGGCTGGGGTGGCTCATCGGGCGCGCAGCCCATTGTGTAAGTGCTTGCCGTGTCTTGATGGCTTTGTTGTGTGCTTGGGAAGACGGTACATCTAACAATCGACTCAGCGGCATCTTCTTTTTCGGCGCCATGCTTCTCATTGTCGCTTCCATCTTCGAGTGGATCATGGGCAACTTTTTCTCCATGCTGACCATGGGTGTCTTTGGCGTCTTCTGGCTGTCCTTTGGCATTCTCCTGTTCCCGACGCTGAACCTCACCGCTCCCTACATTACCGCAGACGACCCGACCGGCCTGGCGTCGCCTGCCTGGAACGCCGGCCTGGCCCTGTTCCTGATCGTCTGGGGCTTTGTCATCCTCACGCTGACCATCTTCACGCTCAAGATCAACGTCGTCTTCGTCGTCATCTACTGCATTCTCATCGCCTTCTCGTTTGTCATGTCCGGCTGCTACTGGCGCCTGTCCCATGGCGATGTCCACGGCGCCGCCAAGCTCCAAAAGGCCGGCGGCGCGCTGCTCTTCGCGGCGGCTGCCTTGGGCTGGTACATTACGACAATCATCATTGCCGGCGAAATGCGCTTCCCCTTGCCGCTCCCCGTCGGTGACCTGAGCCATTTGTGGCCCGAGACCAACGTCGCCCTGACCGACGACAAGCGTGACTAAGTTGCTCCTGGATCTTGGTGGCTGGGGTTATTGCAAGAGCAAAGAGTACGGCTGTTTGATTCGTGAGATGGGGGTCACCACTCCTTTCCTGTCCTGGTTGCGTTTTGCTGGCACTCTTTCTCAATGCTTTGTGATACTACATGCTGCAAAGAACGTCTCATCATAGGCCGCTCATCATCTCTATACAAAGGATATGCTGAATACGTACAGAAATACGTACAGAAAAAGAACACCAAACCAACAATCGCCACTACTGCAGCTTTTTGTCTTCCACCGGTTGCTTCGTTTGCGTGAATTTGATTAACTTGTTTGCGTCACACTGCCTGGCCGTGCCCTTCAGCTGCCCTTCAGCTGCCCTTCAGCGTCTGGTTTCAAAACGCGTCCACCTCCGGTGTCTCCACGATTTACTCTCCTGCCAGCCTGTCCAACTGGTACCCTTTAAACCGGCGAGCTGGCACCCGTTGATCAAAGAGAAGATCCAGCTCTTCGTATGTGCGTCCGGCCGTTTCAGGCACGCGAAAGTATGTCCACGCCAGGCAAAACAGGGTCAGGCCGCCAAAAAAGAAGCCGACCTTGCCGCGCGCATCGGCCTGGTCGGGGTTGATCAGGTAGGGGATGGCCACGGTCATGACAATGCCCAGGACGCCCTGTGCGGCCGTGCAGACGGCGATGCTCTTGGCGCGCACGCGTGTTGCGGAGCACTCGGAGATGATGACAAAGCACACGGGCCCGATGGAGAGGTCGTACACGAAATTCCACACGAGAAGCAGGGCGGCCTCGGCCCAGTCCAGGCGGTCGCCGCCGCTGGCCGGGCGCGGGACGCAGTCGAGGACGGCCACGAGGAGCATGAGGACGGCGAGGCCGACGAGGCCGGCCACAAAGAGGGTGCGGCGCCCCCAGCGCAGAATGAGGAACCACGAGACGAGCGTGCCGACAAACCCCGTCGCCAGAAACCCGATGCTCATGTCAAAGGCCGTCGTCGTGGACAGGCCGCCGTGGCTGAAGAAGACGGTGATGAAGTTGATCATGTAGATGCCGCTGAGCACCTGCGTGCAGTACACGCCCGTGGCAATCTCGGTGCGCCGCAGGTTGACGCCGCGGAAGCAGTCCCGGTACGTGCTGCCGGCCTCGAGCGCCTGCTCCAGCCGGTCGGTCTCGGTGATGGCCGCCAGGGAGGCGGCAATGTCGACCGACGCCGACTTGGACGCCGCCAGGCGGCGCAGCACGGCCTCGGCGTCGGCGGTGCGGCCCTGGCGCACGAGCCACCACGGGCTCTCGGGCACAAAGAACAGGCCCGGCAGGATGACGGCGACCCAGAACCACTGCAGGGCAAAGGGGATCGAGTAGGCCCAGCGGCTGTCGAGGTGCTCGGTGGCGGCCGTGACGCCGCTGCCGAGCAGCTGGCCAATGACAAAGCACAGGTTCACGTAGGACGTCAGGTGGCCGCGCAGGGCCAGCGGGCAGACCTCGGAGGCGTAGGCCGGGGCGATGACGACGTAGCAGCCGAGCACGAGCCCGCCGAGCAGCTCGCCCACGAGCAGCGTGCTGAGCGCGCGCGAGAAAAACTGGATGAAGACGAGGCCGCCGGTCAGGGCGACGCAGGCGCCAAACGTCCGCTTGCGCCCGAAGCGGTCCATCGGGTAGCTGGCAAACAGCGCGCCAAAGACCTGGCCGATGGGGTTGCCCAGCGAGAGGCCGCTCTGCCACGGGGCGCTGATGATGTACTCGTCGTCGGGCGCGTACAGGTAGCCAAAGTCCTGCTCGAAGCGCGGCGTCGCAAAGAAGCCGCCGAGGATCTGCGGGTCGAACGCGAGCATAATCACGCCGATGGACACAAACGCCGACCAGCCAATGGCCGCAGGGTACAGGCGGACGGCGTCGCGGAACGTCAGCTCGTGCTCGCGACGAATGGCCTCGGCGAGCGCCTCAGACACGGACGCGACGGCCCCCTCGCCCCCGGCGACTGCGCGGCCGCGGCTCTTCGTCTCGTGGACGATGTCGTCTTCGGGCAGCGGCGTCGTCGAGTTGCCGGCCATACTGAGCGTGTGGTATGTTGTGTGTGCTGTCGATGTACGTTATGGGCAAACCGTGCCGTCAGAGAAATAAATGTGGTCGTTGTCTTGCAAACAGGAAGTGGTACGTTGGTCTGCGTTTGTTCGTCGCCGGAACAGTCTGGAAAATGGATGCACGGAAAAGTTCAGCCCTCCTCTGTCCTCTGGCCGTGTCCATGTTGTATAGTACGGTGCGATATTGCTGCGTAGACCGCATCCTCTGCCATCCTCTCTCCTCTTTTCTCTGTGTACTTTGGTACTGCTTCTGGGCCCAGCCAACAGCTGTCTCTGCACTCTTCCCCGCCTTGTGAATGTGCGTATGTCCATCTCGGCTCGTCTGCCCATGAACCTAATGCCAATGGCAGACGGCTTGCGGTGGTTATCGCCATAACCAGGACGCGGCTTGTATCTAAAAATGCGACTCTAGCTATGTATGTTGCCCACAGCGGACGTCGCATTCTTCGTGGACAGTGTGCAGCAGTCCAAAGCTGCCACGGACGTTCATGACACGGGATCTCGTTGTGGCGAAGAGACACGACCGAGGGGAGCTCGTTTGCCGCTCTGATTGTCTTTTTGCTCGAGTGGGATCGGTTCAGTTTGCCGTCGAATGGCAATATCAGGTTAATATGAGATAACAGCCAGCCGGGAAGCAATCATTTATATTGTACTGTGATTGTACTGTCGCTAGAAATAAGTGATTGCAATGGGCTTACTCAACGCATCATGGTATTCTTCGGGAAGTTGTCCATTCGCCCCTTTTCTTATTTTCTTCCTTTCTTTTCTTATTAATTCGAACCCGTCGCGTCTCTTCAAAACTTGGCTGTAGTGGTTTTGTAGCTTTTTAGGAGGGCTCGTTTTGGACACAAGAGGAATGCATTTCATGCAGACGATGCTACTAGCATGTCGTTGCTGACATAATGCTGCGTTTGTGCCGGTGGGCGTTAGGCAACAGTGGTACAAAAACATGCAGCGTCGTGTTTATCCACAGAGTCACATTGCATCGCTCCTCACGAGCATCGTCTCCAACACGCCACACTCCGCATCCATGGAGCTGCCCACTGTTGTCCGTGAGCCCTCGGCGCCGCATACGCACACCGTCGTCTTCCTGCACGGCCGCGGGGACACCGCAAAGAATTTCGCTCGAACGCTCGGCTACTCATGGGGTTCCGATGACAAGCCGCTCTACGGTGCCTTTCCCTCGTTCCGCTGGGTCTTTCCACAGGCACCCGTGCGTCGGTCCGCGAATGGTTACGGCATCATGCACCAGTGGTTTGACACGTGGAGCTCGGCCGACTTCTCCGAGCGCGAGGAGGTACAGGTCCCCGGGCTGCAAGAGATCGTACCCGCGATCCGACAGCTGCTCGCCGCCGAGGCAGACAAGCTGGGCGGCCGCTGGGACAAGGTGGTGCTCGCGGGCATCAGCATGGGGGGCGCGACGAGCGCGCACACAATGTTCAACCTGGCCATACCGCCGCCGGGCCGACTGGGCGCGTTGATGACCTTTTCGTCGCGCTGTCCCTATGTCGGCCGTCCACTCGCGGAGCTGCGCGCCATCCTCCACCTCGCCGATGTCCCGGACGACGCGGGTGTCCTTTGCAACACGCCCATGTTGCTCGAGCACTGCACGGACGACGACCTCGTGCCAGTCGGTACGGGGCATGCCCTGCGGGACACGATGGTCCGCTTCGGGGCGCAGGTGACGTGGAAGGAGTATCCGGACGGCGGACATTGGTTCAACGCGCCACAAGGCATCGACGACGCTGTGGCGTTTCTCAAAGCGCAGCTCCTTGGGGAAGGACGAGACGAAGCGAAGGCAGAATCAGCTGTCAACTGATTCGCTTCTCCCGGTGGACAGCCACGACCATTTCCTTCAATGCAGCCCGATGTGGCTTGCAGAGGCGAGCCTTGGCACGGCAGTCGACTTTTCAATTTGCTGCTGGCCACTCCATTCTGCCTAAACTAGAGCGTCTGCGGTGTCGATTGATTGTTCTGTAACGTTGAATTTTGACATTGTCTCGAAATCTCCACATTCTCTTTGTGATATGGAAGAACCGTCATTGGCTGCTTGTCATTGTACTCTATTCCCTTTTCCCGGGGTGCCATTATGCCTGATCACCCCTGACAGGTTTGGTGGCATATTTGGAGACCGACCGAGAAAAGAAATAACACAAAGAATTAACACACAAATACGGCTGGTCTTGCCCGTCCCTTGACAGACTCTTGGCTACTTTGGACGAACTTGGCGATTTACAGATCCAATTCTCCCGATTGGTCGTGGCTCAACAGCCTCATCTGTGACGAAGGTTGTAAATAGCAACCAGAACGCTTGGCCGTGAAGAGGAAGAGCAAACGCAACAGGTTCCTATTATGTGCAAGACGAGGTGAGGGTTTTGCACTCACCAGCGCGACAGTCGAATACCACGTCAGCTTCATATCCCCCGTCTCTTGCCGCACTATGTAGCCGATCAACACGCAATATAAACCCTTTCAGGACTTTATTGCCGTTTCGCAAACTATGGCCTTGCGGCTGCAGAAAAAAGAGTGTCAGGAAAGCCTCAACATCAGCGCGAGGTGGAGAGGGTCGAGAACCAAGCATGAGAGCATAAAGGGTATATCCCGTTGCGATCCCCTCTCCTGCCCAGTGGCCTCTCTCCCATGCACCTTTGTCGCATCTCCACGCATTGTTCTAGACTCGTCGACTCGGACACTGCATCGACTTCTGCGCGGTCTGAACGTTTAACAAGCACAATGGGCCACCTGAACATCCACACCGCCGGGCTGGCGGCGCTTGCACTTGCCAGCCAGGCCACACTGGCATCGGCGGCGGCGATCCACGGCCCTCGCCAGGCGGCCGCCGCGCCCAAGACGGCAAAGTACTGCGACAACTCGCTCGGCGCCACGGTGTGCTTTGCCGAGTTCACGGCCGCCACGTCGGGGACCGTGTTCCGCTTTGCCATTCCCGAGGTGCAAAAGGCGCCGTTTGACACGCTGGTGCAGGTCGTGGCGCCCGCGGCGGTGGGCTGGGCGGGCCTGGCCTTTGGCGGGTCCATGGTGCAGAACCCGCTCGCGGTGCTGTGGGTCGACGGCAAAGGTCAGGGCCAGGGCCACGGCGTGGCCTCGTCGCGCTGGTCCAGCGGGCACACGCCGCCCACCTCGTACAACGGCGCGTCGTACGACGTGCTCAGCGCGGCGGCCAACGCCACGCACTGGACCATGGACGCGGTGTGCCACGGCTGCAGCGCGTGGGGCACCAACAACACGTCGCTGAACCCCAGCGGCGTCAACCGGATCGGGTACGCCACGAGCAAGACGGCGCCCACGACGCCCGGCAGCAACTTGAGCACCATTGCCATTCACTCGGAGAAGGGCGTCGCGCCGCTGGACCTCAGCGTCGGCAAGGTGGACTCCAACACGTTCAAGCGCTACCTGCTGTACCTGTCGAGCAACCCGTCGGACTCGGCAGGCGCAGGCGACGGCGACGGTGGTGATGGTGGCGCGTCGGCGGAGGCGCCGGTGCCGACCCTCCCCAAGAACATTCCCACGACCACCATCGGCATGCCCCAGACACCGCCCGGCCAGCCGGCCAAGACGACATCCGTGCGCCACACCACCATTGGCCCCAGCTACGCGCCGACCACCATTGTCGGCACGCCCGCGCGGTCCACGGGGGTGACGGTGACGGTGACGGTGACCTCGCCCCCGAGGGGCGGCGGCGGGGGCACACCCGCGCCGACACCGTGCAACCGGGGTGGCTTCGGCGGCTTCGGCGGCTTCGGCGGCGGCCGGTCCTGCACACAGCCGCCGTATGGTGGCGGCGACAATGGCGACGACGGTGACAATGACGATGGCGGCGACTCGGGCTTCGGCGGCGGTGGCGGTATTTTTGGCGGCGGTGACGGCGGCGGCTTTGGCGGCGGACGCGGTGGCGGCGGCGGTTTTGGCGGTGGCCGGGGCGGTGGCTTTGGCGGTGGGCGTGGAGGCGGCGGCGGCGGCGGCGGCTTTGGCGGTGGTTTCGGCGGCGGCTTTGGAGACAATGGCGATGACTGAATCTGGGATGCGGAAAAGAGCTGGGAGGCAACCACTGGACGCTAGGGAGTGATGGAAGATGCGAAAAACGCCATTGTACAGAATACCGGCAACCAAGAAACCATAGGCCGATGTTTTTCACATTGGCAGTACTTTCGTACGTTGGACAGAGCCTGTCCTCACTGAACAAAGAAGAATGAGAGTGAAGCAGTTGACTGTTTTCGTGATGGCGCATCGTCCAATCACGTCCCGAGACGCCGATGGGAATCATGCCTCTTGGCACTGCCCTCGATAGCTCAAGACCCTAAATCGCTGCGACAGTAACACAACCATTGCGAAACGATGGCCGCAGCCGGCCAGTTCCGAGAAACAACGACCCATCGAGGGGAAGAGGCGACAAAATGGGAAGACGAAGAACACCTGATAAAATCAGGCCATTTTGCCGGTGCCAGCTGTGATTGGCCCCCGGGAGCTTCCGTAGGCCCAGCTTTTGCAGCTGGAGAATCCTCGGCGTGTGTGACATTCGTTTCTCGTTTCTCGTTTCTCGTTTCTCGTTTCTCCGCACATCCTCTTTCACATCGGAAAAGCACACCACCCTTTTGTGGACCACTTCTCAACCTCATTCGGGATTTGGAGGGGATTTGACTGATTCCCGTTGCGGTGAAGCTTGAAGCAGACGGTGACCTCTATAGTCTTGTTCGTCTCTTTTTATGTCTCTTCTTGCCGCCGCGATCAGAGGCTCTCGCGATGCCGCTCCAACGGCAGTCTGAACGACTCTCGCGATGCTTCTTGTTGCGTACCGCATCGTACTCTGCGCACGTTTCATCTGCGGCATGCTCTGCTCCGCTGGCCAAGGACATACAACCTCCCGCAACACGTACCAGATGCCACGCAACAAGATGCCTTCTTTATCTTGTATCAGCGGATGTGGTGATTGCGTCCATTTCCATTTCCATTTCCATTTCCATGTCCATTTCCATTCCACCTCGGGCGCATCGCCCTCGCCCATACAGAGTGCCACCGCTAGCAAATTTCGAGAGGCCGTGTGACTGCACCCCATCGCCTTGTATCGTACCGTCCCAGGCCCATTGGATTGGCCTGTCCCACCGAGCATCGTAAGACTGGAGCTTGCCGATGGTTCGGTTTTGCGCATATGCCCGCCGCTGGCCTGGATGGTGGGCCAGGCCTGGCTAGGCCTGCTGTTGTGGGGTTGGTGGTGCCAGTGGTGCCAGTGGTGCTAGTGGGCTCGTCCTTCCTCCAGTAGCACAACGCCTTCCTTCCGAAACGAGCACTGACACCACACTTCAGCCACAGAGAGAACCGTCACTCGGCCAGCATTAAGCCCACACGCTCAGGCAGGGCCAGGAACAAAACGGAGACAGAAACAGGAGCGGAGAACCGACAGCACACCACGCACACCACGCACACCACGCACACCACGCACACAACAGCACACAAACAGGCCAGTCTGACGTTCGCGCACAGGTCGATGCTCCGGCTGAGCACCGCCAGACGGAAAGGGCAGGCACGGCTTTGGACGGGTGTGGCAGGGGCGCGCTTCGCGCCTTCCTCTGCCTACTTATATGAAATGTCCGCGATGCCTTTTCATTTTGGGCAGGTGCCACCTCCGAACCCAAGCTCCACCAGATCGCCAAATCCAAGTCTCTGACCTCTGCGTCAAGTCTACACACTTTCATCTGTAATCTGTACACTCTGTACCTCTGTACACTCTGTACCTCTGTACACTTCATCTTCATTTTTGATCCCTGCCCAACTCTTCCCCGGCCCACTCACCACCTTCAGCCAGCGCCCACACACGATCATGCACGTCTGCCAGCCCATGTCTTCGGTGCCGTCGTCCTCTGCCATTGCATGTCCTATGAAGATGAAGATGCAGCTTCAGAATCGTGAAGAACAGCAGACGCCTCTCCAGAGACGGCAGAACCAGAAGCTGCAACAAAAACAACGACAGCAGCAGCTCCAGCTCCAGCTCCAACAGCAACAGCAACAGCAACAACAGCATGCACAAGAGTCGTTCTCCGTCTCGCCAGACTCGCTCTACAGCTACTCGTTTGACGAGTATACCAACTTTGCAAACAACAGCTACGGCACAGACTTCAGTGCCGACTCGCCGCTCTCCCCTGGGTCCCCCGTTTCGCCCCCCACGGCCAACCCGTTTGCACCATCCGTGGCTCCCGACGACTTCGACTCTTGGAACAAGACTGAGTCGGACGACCCCGACGGGTTTTCCTTCAAGCCCGAGCCCGGCAACAGCCCCCTTCTCTTTGCCTCCACGGTCGCGTCTCTCGGCCGGGACCTTGTCGCGAGCGCCGCCATTGACCCTCTCCAGCTGTCCCACGACACCGTGGCAGACGATTTTGCTCTGTCGGTCCCAGAGGAGCAACTACCGCAAGACGACAACGACGACGACGACGACGACGACGCAGACAACGAGCAACAGGTCTCCGGTTGTCCATCGGCCTCCACATCAGACACCGCCATGAGCCCTGCCACCGTGCCGGCCCGGGGCCATCGCTCTGCCGTTCGCAAGCCGTCTACCGCCTCGCGGAGCAGCACCTCGGCAACCGCCAGCAGCCATCTGAAGCGCAAGCATTCCCGTGCCACGTCGGCCCAGTCGCGCTCGCCACGACAGTCCCCTTCTCCTTCGGCAACGCACCGGCAAACCACTTCGACCCAGCGGCCCAAGAAGACGGCGCACAACCTCATCGAGAAGCGGTACCGCACCAACCTCAACGACAAGATTGTGGCCCTGCGAGACGCCGTCCCGTCCCTGCGCGTCGTCGCTCGTCGTCGTCGCAACGACTCCACGTGCGGCTCGGACGACGAGGACAATGACAACAACAACGACAACAACAGCACGCTGGCCGCTGTGGACGGCAGAGATCTGGGCAGCCTGGCCCCGGCCCACAAGCTGAACAAGGCCACCATCCTCAGCAAAGCCACCGAGTACATTGCACACCTCGAGCGCCGCAACGACGCTCTGGCCCGCGAAAACACGGCCCTGCGCGGCAAGGTCGACGGCTTTGAAGCGCTGATGACGAGCCGCGGCGGCCAGAACGGCGTGTGGTGCTGACCTCGCCGATCGTTTTCTTCTCTTCTCTTCCCGTCCTCTCCTCGTCCTGCCACATTCGAGCCGGAGGCCACATGTGCCGTCTTCAGAGCGCCGTGTTGGTCCAACGTTGTTCTGTCGTTTCTTTGTACAGTATCTATTGCGTTATAACTATTAGTACTTGGGCTGGAAGGACGCGACGACTGTCCACGCCATCTCGAGAGTGTATTTGGGCGTCATGACTGGACCGCGGCGTTGTATACGTTTTTGGGCATTGTTTCTCTATAGTTTGCTCCTCGTTGCATTTTCTGGCGCAGTACTCGGGACAGTTTAACTCGCAGCTCCACGTCTTTTGTTTCTGCAGTAACGTGCAATCTGACGTACGAACGCATACACTTTGTCTCGTGAACACGATTGTCCTCATTCCACATTCGCGTGACATAAAACCCTGCATAATGACGTGCATAAATTGAATCGAAGAAACTGAAACAAGAATTATGACCATTATTATGGCGATTGTAGCCCTGAACGCTTGCTGTGAACCAGTTGCTGTCGAAAAAGAGGGTCAACCTATGCGCCGCACCCCATTCTTCCTTCCGGACCTATTTCGTCTTCTTGCTGCGTTTCCGAACGCTTTTTCTGTCGGCGTTGTCCTTGCCCGTGGCAACCAGATCGACTTCTTCGTCCTCTGCATTGACGGATTCTGGTTGGATCTCGACCTCGACGACCTCGTCGACCTCGTCGACCTCGTCGTCCTCGCTCTCGGCCTCGCTGTCGGCCACTTCCGTGACCGTGCGCTGCAGCACCTGGCTCACAATCTTTGCCGCCTCGCCGTCCTCGCCGTCCTCGCCGTCCTCGCCGTTCAACGCACCGCAGCCCATGCAGCGCCAGCGGCCGACGTCGGCCAGGCTGTGCGTGCCCGGCGGCGCCTGTCCATTCACGAGACGGCACGCGCGGCAGATGAGCACGAAGCGGTTTTTGGCCGCGGTCTCGTCGTCGCCCATCAGCAGGTCGAGGAGGCGATCGTACCAGTGGGACTCGCCAACGGCGGCAGCACCACTGCTGGACGCGGCCGCCGCATGCGCATACGGGCCGCCGGCGACGTCGGGCGGGCGCGTCTGCGCAGGGACCTGGACCTGGACCTGGACCTCGTCGGGACCAAAGGCATTCGGCGCAAATTCGGCTGTGGCGCTCAGGTCCGTCACACCGGGGGTGTGTCCCCCCGCTCCCGCACGCGGCGAGTTCGGCTTGGACGACGCCAACGACGCCGCCGGGACATGGCTGCCCGATGGGATGTTGGCCGTGGGCGGTGGCGGCAGACGCGTCCGGTTGGGCGTCGAGCGATTCCTTTCGTCCTGCGCGCCGCCGCCTGGACCGCCTGGACCGCCCTTGCCGCGCTTGTCACTCTGCTGCGCCTTGCCTTCGCCGTTGCCTTTGCACGGTTTGGTCTCGCCGCCGCCCCCGTACTTCTCCAGCAGCTGCAAGGTCGAGTCGTATTTGGTGGCGTCTTTGAGTTTCTGAATCGTCTTGGCCCGCTCCTCCTGCTGCTGTTTGAGCGTCGATGCAAGAGAGTCGATTCGGATGCTAAACACGGAGGCGAGGGCTTTGCGCGTGGCGTAGATGCTGTGTTTCGTTAGATACAGATTTGTGGCCACAATGGGCTCGTCGTGCTGCGGCTCACGTACAGGACCGGCCCTCCGGCGACACCAGACCACTCCCAGCGCCCCATATTCTTCCATCCCACGACAAGCGCGAGCACAATGGCGTACACGAGGTAGCCAAAGGTCAGGTAGAGGGTGCTGAGCACGCGTGCGCGCCTCGAGCTGGACCGCGTCCGGTCGAGCTTCGCTTGGGTGTTGGCGATCTTGGTCGCCAGTGCGGAGAGCACTTTCTCAAACGACGCGGGAGAATCATCGGCTCTCTAGGGGTGCCAAGGCAGCTTCGTTAGCTACTTTGCTCAACAGAGCGTCCGACAAGCTCGACTCCAAGATGAGGTTACCTTCCACGGCCATATTGACACCATTTTGCCGGCGTGAGATGTGCAATATCGAAAACCACTCGTCTGTGATAAACAAATAAAAATGCCCACAAAGTCAGACGGCCAGTGTGGGCGTGTAGCGTCTCCGATGCCGTAGAGCGTATGCAGTGCGCGGTGGCGAGTGGGAAGTCTACAGAGACAAGGGTTGGTGAAGATGGAAGCTTGCTTTTGGATGACGATTTGGTTGCGTGGACTGGAGCGAAACGCGAAGCTGCCTTGCCGCAACATGGTAAAATGACTAAGCACTGTGCTTTAGTGGCAGGGGGGACCTGGGGACCTTGCACAGCGCCCTGAGCTCCTTTTGGGTCTAGTGTCCACCTAAAGCTGAGCAGTGAAACCCCCCCAAGGATGGCTGCCGGACGAGGGTCCTAGCAACGAGACGACAATACGGGCTGAGGGCATCGCCGTAAATGCAAACCTGGCCACAACTGTCTTTGTTCCAAGGTCACGGAGCCATACCAGGACACGAATATCCACAGATTTTGTTACCGAATAGACAGTCCCAGAACAGACTATTTTGTCGACCGAAATATCCTTTTCGACTTGTACCTGACCCGACGACGGCTCGAACATTGAACTGTCACATGGAATCGTGAGGATCGCAAGTCGCATTCCCTGACGGACGCTTGAGAAGGACGACAGGACGACAGGACGACGGGACGGCGAGTTGACGAGAACCGGGATCGGCAACACAGACCGAGGGACGAACACCCATCATGTTTCAGGTAGGGCATTGACAATGTCCCGATCCTGGGGGACGGCGTCCGTTGCTTGTATTTTTGTTTTGCTTTGCTGACTGGGTACCTTTGACCGTTGAGTAGAGAATCCGTGGCGCCATCGATCGGACCATTGCCGAGGAGCAGGCCCGCCAGCAGAGAGCCTCCGAGGGGGTGGCATCGCCAGGCTCCGCATCGCCCAGCCGCCGATCAACATCCGTCTCTCGGACCGGCAGCGCACGCGGCGACGGACAAGCGGCACGACGCACGCGCCCGAAGAAGCCCAGCCAAGACACCAGCACAAACGACGGTGTGCCCAATGTGGACCCAAGCGTCTTTGAAGATGCCTTTGCCCTCGAGGACAACGACGAGCCGGCGCGCTCAGCGACGCCAGGAACGCCCGCCGCCGAGGGAGCGGACGACGACGACGAAGACGAGGCTAAGGAAGGGGGCGAGGCGGAAGGCAAGGCGGGCGGCAAGGACAAGGGAAAGTCGGTAGAGAGGCGCAGCGATGAAGATGACCAGACTGCGAGTGCTGCGAGTGCTGCGACAGCCGGCTTGCCAGGCGACACGTCGCCGCCCTCTGCGACCGACACGCCGAAAGGCGCACCAGCGGCCGTGGCGCCCAGACCAAAAGCCGAGCTCACTCCGGACGTCCAGGCGCGACTGCGGAAGCTTGACAAGCTCGAAAAGACGTACCCAGAGCTCCTGCGGTCGTACCGGATAGCACATGGCCGCGTGTCGGCGATTGAGCCCTTTGAACGGGCCCTCCGCGAAAACACACCTCTGACGTCCATCCGCGACCCGACCGCCCTCATCGAGTACCTCAACCAGCTGAGCTTGAAGAGCGAGATGATCCTGGACGAGCTGAAGCGCGTGACATCCGACCGGGACGACTTGAAGAAGCAGCTCGGCTTGACGAAAGACGAGCTGGACGCAGTGAAGTCGTCCAAGGCCGATGCCAAGGACGTCGCAAAGGGGCCAGAAGAGACCAGGGGCGAGGAGTTTTTCTCCATCGACAGCGAGCTGCCACGACTGCAGGCCGAGACGGCCGAGAAGACGGCCGAGATCGAGAAGCTGCAAGACACAGTCCAGCAGCTGAATGAGGACCTGTCGGCCGCCAAGGAAGCCAACGCGGAGCTGGCGGAGCGTGTGCAGAGCACGACGAAGGAGCTGGACGCATCCAAGGCAGGTAGCATGTCGCATGCCGCCTTGGCCGACCGCCTCCAAGACACCGAGTCCAAGCTCAAGGCCCTGGAAGACCAGTCCGCCGACGCCCAATCCACATCGGAGAAAGAGCTGCACGCGGAGAAGGAGAAGCGCAAGGCCTCGGAGACGCGCAACAGCGAGCTGGCGCGCCAAGTTGAGACGCTTACCGCGGCCACGGCGAAACTGGACAAGACGATTGCCGACCAGACCTCCGAAATTGCGTCCCTCACAAAACAAAACGCCGAGCAGGCTGCCAAGGTGGCGGAACTGAGCAGGAGGAGCGCTGCCACTGCATCACCTGCCAATGCCACGCCCGCGGCCGCTGCAGCTGCCCCGGAACCGAGCACAGAGCAGCAGACCGGCGGCGGCTCTGGCAAAAACAAGAAGAAGAACAAGAAGAAGAAGAATGCCGGCGGAGCTGCTGGTGGCGCTGCTGCTGCTGCTACGACAGCGGCAACTGCTGCCGCGTCGTTGGCTGCGGCCGACGAGCCTGCGCTGTCTGAAACATCCGAGCGCACGCTCGTGGGTGGCGCCAGCGACGGTCCGGACGCTGCCGAGCTGCAGGCGGAGGTGGCGCGGCTGCTCAAGGACGTCGAGGCCAAGGACGAACGGATCCAGCGGCTGTCGAAACAGCGGAAGACGGAGGAGGACCTGCGCGAGGAGATTGAGACCCTGCGGGAGAACCTGGTGACCATTGGCCAGGACCACGTCCAGGACAAGGAAACGATCAAGAGCCTCGAGAGCGAAAAGGCCGCGCTGGTGAAGCAAATTGCGGAGCTGGAGAAGCAGATCGCGTCGTCGTCGTCGACGTCCCAGACCCAGTCGACCCAGCTGCAGGCGGCGCTCGCGTCGCTCCAGAAGGAGCACGACGACGCCAAAGCCAAGGCGACGACGCTGCAGGCCGACCTGGGCGCCGCGCAGCAGCTGTCACAGACGCGGTACAAGGAGCTCGCGAGTCTGCGCGAGATCTTGCAAAAGGCGCAGCCCGAGCTGAAGAGCCTGCGCGCCGACGCCGCGACGCTGAAGACGACCCAGGAGGAGCTGGCGACCAAGACGGCGGAGATGCGTGCCCTGGAAAAGCGGGAGCGGGAGGCCAAGCTCGACACGGCGCGGGCGCAACGACTGGCGGCGGACCGCGACGCCGAGCTCAAAGCGCTGCGCGACAAGCTGGCGGCCGAGACGAACGCGAAGCTGCGCCTCGAGGACGAGAAGCGCGTGGCCGGCCGGGACCTGCGGCGTGCCGAGGCGGACAAGATCGAGCTCAGCGCCAAGGAGGAGAAGGCGACGCGCGCGCTGCAGCGGCTGCAGGAGGAGCTGGCCGCGGTGCAGCCGCGGCTGCGGGCGCTGGACGACGAGGTCGGCCAGCTGCGGCGCGAGCAGGAGGCGCTGCGCGCGGAGGCGGCCCTCAAGACGTCGCAGTACACCAACGCGCAGCACCTGCTGGGCAGCATGCGCGACCAGACGGCGGAGCTGTCCGTGCAGCTGCGCGAGGCGCAGGCGCAGGCGGAGGCGCGCGACGAGGAGCTGGCCGAGTGCCAGACGCTGCTGGCGGAGCGCACGCGCGCGGCCGAGAGCATGCGGCAGCTGCTGGCCGGCGTGAACGAGCAGACCGACAGCAAGGTGCGCGACATGCGCGCGCGCATGGACGCCGCGCTGGAGGAGCGCGACCGCGTCGAGGACGAGGCCAACACGCTGGCGCGGCGGCGCGCGCGCGAGGCCGAGGACCTGCGCGGCAAGGTGCGCGACCTGGAGCGGCAGGTCAGGGCCCTCACCAACGAGCGCGACGACGCCGAGCAGCGCGAAAAGGACTGGCGGCGGCGGCGCGAGGAGCTCGAGCAGGTGGAGGCCAAGGCGGCGGCCGAGGTCGAGGACATGCGCGCCACGGTCGCGAGCCTCCGCACCGCGCTGGATGCCTCGGAGCAGCAGGTGCGCGACGTCGAAAAGAAGAACAGCGACCAGCGCCGCGTCCTCGACGAGCAGCGCCAGCGCTACGAGAAGCTCTTGCGCGACGCCAAGGGCCAGCAGGGCCGCCTGCACGCGAGCTCGCCGTCGCCGTCGCCGTCGCCGTCGTCGCCGGGCGGCGCGCGCAGCTCGAGTGTGGCGGCCGGTGCGGACGGAGCGCGGCACTCGATGGAATCGGCGCGGTCGTCTAATGGCACACCCGCCGCGGCCGGTGCCGATGCCATGTACCTCAAGACGATCCTGCTGCAGTTCCTGGAGCAAAAGGACAACAAACTGCGGGCCCAACTGGTGCCTGTGCTGGGGAAGTTGCTGCGTTTTGACCAGTGAGTGCCTTTCGCCCCGCTTGATGATCGCTCTGGTGGCCTTTCATGTTGCATCTAACAAAACAATTATAGGGCGGACGAGAAGAAGTGGCTCACGGCAATCCAGCATCTGAATGCTCGGTGATTGCACAGGTTTCTGGCCGCGTTACATGGACATGATGGGAAAGCGGGTTTTGGTGTCTTGTTTCTGGGTCACTAGGTTTGTAATATTGCAACAGCTTTTTACGCGCACCTTTGTCATGCCGATTTCTATTTTTACATTATTTTATTACAATGACTTGTAGTCAAAAACTTGGGACAGTTCCGGCTGGCCTTTGGCCTGTCCTTTTGCGTGGAGACTGGCAAACACCGCCTCGGCTTCCGTGCGGCCCAGACGGCGCATTCGGTTGAGGTCGTCGTCCGCCAGCTCCTCCAGCTCTGCCGCCAGCGCACGGCCGCTGTGTTCGTCGCTCACGATGCTGTCCGTGCCCTTGCTCTCGCCGATGAGAAGCACATGGCTGTGGACGTAGTCGAGGTGCTCGGGACGGAGGGGCGTCCATCGCCGCGCCCGGAAGGACTCGCTGATGCTGTTTTGTTAGAAACGAACTGCATGTGGAACAGATTGTGCAGATGTACAAAATACATACGCTTTCGGATAGTCTGGCCCGCCGCCGACCATCGAGCCGCCGCCTGGCATCGGGTACGCCGGATTCTTGGTGCTCACGATGAAGCAGCCCTGCTTCGCGGCCAGGCCGATCTGCTGCTGGACGGCACCGAGCGTCTCGGGCACCGTCAGGACGTAGGCCAGGTGGCTCTCGCGGCCGGTGCTGATGATGGCGTAGATGCCCTCGCCGAACGCTGTGGCGGCCGGGACATGCCGTTCCTTGTCGCCATCGCCCTCCCGGCTTCCGGACAAAAACTCCGTTTGCAACTTGTCATACGACGCGTCGGCCGCGAGCACAAACGCCATGAAGCGGTCGCGCCCGGTGCGCGGCAGCACCTTTTTGGGCAGCGCCAGCAGCCGCGTGTGGCCTTTGCCGTCACCGCCTGGCGGACCACCGTCACCACCACCCGTGTCGTCGTTGGCCTGCGGCCGCAGGACGAGGTACGTGCGCGCGACGTCGTCGAGGCTGCTGGGGTCGTCCATGTCGACGCGGGCGCGGAAGAAAAAGTAGATGTTGCCTTTTTCGAGAATGGTGGGCGCGTTGTCATTCTCGTTGTCGTCCGGGCCGGCGTCTGCGTCTGCATCCGCCCCGCCCTGCTCGTGTGCCGTCTTGTGCCGTTTGCGACCGTCTTTGGGCGACTGGCTGCGGTCGGCCGGCTGGTGCTTGTCGCCGGCACGGGCATTGTCGCTGGGCTTCTCGCTTGGCTTCTCGCTTGGCTCATTCTTGACCTTCGCGCCACTGGACTTGGTCGCGCCGTCCTTGGAGCCTCTGTCTGTCTCAGGCTTGCTGCTCACTGCCTTGCCTGGCGCATTCGTCGTTTGAGTGCCGTGTCTTGTCTCAACCATTGTGGATTGCTGTTTTTGGTTTCGCGGAAGATGATATGGGTCGGCGACAACATGGAACGTAAAGCGAAATAAAGTCCTGAATGAAGTCAATCTGGGAATCGAGACAACTGACCATCAATGATAATGTACACTAATTAATGGACATAGGACGCAGGATAAAATGTCGCTGTCATCGACTTTGTGACGTCACTCTCGGACATAAATGAAGCCGAAGATGCAGGTAAATCTTGCACCAAAATCGACTGCTGAGTATGCCGTCTTCCACGCCGTCTAAAGTATTCTGTAGTCTGTCGTCTTATTGGACGCAGTTGCATTTGAAAGTAGGAGTCCAAGTGACCCATTGTCAAGAAACCTATGTACAGGATGCGAAAACAAGATGTGACCTTCATGTCGCCTGCTAGCATTTTAAGACAAAACCAAATGCTTGTCCAGCTCTTTCCTACCACAAAATACCAAAAACCCAAAAAATATCAAAAACCCCAATGGTGAGAGAATGCATGCAAACGGCAAGCAAAGAAAAGGCGCAAAGAAAATAGATAAAGGGAAAGACAACCAAACGCAAAGCTAAAAAAGTAGGCCATAGCCCAACGTAAACTAGAAATAAACGGTTTTATACAAATGCACAACGTCCCATCTCTCGCATTACATGTACCAGTATGTGCTGTGTGTGCTGCTCACATAGTATATAGCAAGCCTCGAGCCTCGAGTCTCGAGCCTCGACCTCGATGGCTGCTTTCATACCGTCGTCCCGCCGCAGTCGGGGATGACGATGCCCGGCTTGAGGTTGCGGTTGACGTCCATGATGCCCCAGTGATCCTCCCAGTTCTGGTCGCCCGAGTTGTACTGGATCTTCCACGGCTCGTCAAACGCCTCGAACCAAAAGTATTCGGTCCCGTTCGTCAGTGCGTCGCACACCCACGTCGACAAAAACTTGTTGATCTGGGAGATGCCGGCCACGGCCGCATCGGGGCACACAGTCAACGTGGACCCGGATCCGCAGTCGGTGCCGCCCTCGCTCGGCCACCCCGTCTCGCTGATGATGTTCTTGCTCTTGTCGGACTTGAAGAATTGACCGTTATTCGTCTCCCAAAAGTTCCACGTCCAGGCGGCTGCATCATTGGCGTTCACACCGCCAAAGAACGGGTGGATGTTGGCCATGACATAGTCGGACGCCTGCGCCAGCTCGGCATCCCACACCGTGCCGAGATCCGACGTCGCGACGGGGAGGCTGATGCTCATCGACGACATGTTCGTGCGCACCGACTGCAGCAGCGTCGACAGCTGGCTCGTCGTCATCTGCTGCCGGAACAGAATTTCGTTGGCGACAATGACGCCCTTGAACGGGTCGGCGCCGTACTTGTCGAGAATGTCCCACATCTGCGCCAGCTGCCGCGCGTTCGTCGTCTGGTTGTTGTCCTGCCACACGCCCATCCAGATCTTGACTGTGTCCTGCAACTTCAGCTGGTTGATGGCGTGGATCGCCATCTCCGTCTGGTTGCAGTCCGTGCCGTACAGGCGGATCGTGTTGGTCAGCTGCGACAGGACGGCGATATCCCGTGTCACGTTGTTTTGCGACGGAGGGTTGGCGAGACAGTCTGGGAACTGCGTGTTGATGGGCGTGTAATCGACGCCGGGGAAGATCTTGTGCAGGTTCTTGTTGTTGAGCAGCTTCTGGATCTCGGGGCTGTTGATGTCGAGATCGCCGTTCTTGTTGGTGTCACCAGAAGCAGTGCCAGACGAATCGTTACCGCCGCTGCTGCCGTCCTTCTTCTTCAGGACAACGCCAAAGACAACGCCCAGGACAACGCCGGCAATGACGGCGAGCGCGATACCAATGATAATGGCCCACTTCCAAATCTTCTTGCTGTGACTTTGTTTGGTGAGCCATTCGGACTTTTCGGGGGCGCCACCGCTGCGACCAAGGTTGTTATATGCGCCGCTGTCATATCCACCGCCACTGCCACCGCCACCTGCGTAGTAAGAATGGCCGTTGTTCAAGGCATTGTAGCGTGCACCATTTGACGACGCAACGCGATCGCCCATGATGCCATCCGGAGAACCCCCCATCCCTGGTGCATGCGAATACTCGCCTGCATTGCCGTGTGCGAGAGCCGCAGTCGCTGTAGGCCCTGCAGCTGCCGCCCCGACAGCGGCAGCACCGACAGCGGCAGCACCAACAGCCGCCGGACCAACCGCACCACTGGCAGTCCCGCTACGGCTGCTTTTGGTGCTGTAGCCAGCCAAGCTCAGCATGGACGTTCTTGCATTGCGACTGCGGCCGTACTCCAGACCGTCGTCGCCATCGTCTTCAATCTCATTGGGGTTGACATAACCAAGTGACGTGTCGTGCATGGAGTACCGGTTGTACGGGTTGTCCGTGTAAACGTCGCCACCGAAATTGCCGTGAGGGCTCCGTGACGGTGTGCGCGTTCCCGGTGTCCCAGCTCCCGGAGGGTACGCCGCACCGCCAAGGCCTTGGAGGCTTGACCTCGAGTCCCTGTCAACGTTGCGCCCACCTGAGCCTCCGTACGCCGGGCGGAGCATCTGTGGTGACGGCTGACTTTGCTCCGGCTGGTCGTATGGGCCATTGTATCCGCGGTATTGTTGCTGTTGCTGTTGCTGTTGCTGTTGCGACGGGTAGGGTCCAGCCTGGTATGTGTGTTGAGGATACCCCGGTGGCGGGGAGCCCTGGTAGTTTTGCTGCATTTGCTGCTGCTCTTGCTGCTGCTCTTGCTGCTGCGGCTGCTGAATGCCTCTCATGGCCGCGACTCCGCTCTCTCTTGGGTTACGATCGGCGACGCTGTAGGCAATACCAGCCATGCCACCCGCGGCAGACTCGCTAAAGTTGTCGGCTCCGGGTGTGATGTTTGACGGCGGCGGGAGCGGCGTGGCCAGGGGCTGGCGCGTGCCGCCGTGCGGCGGAGGTGCAGGAGGCGAAATGGGGGAGACGATGTCTGCCGCTCCGCCAGCGATTGCTGTCGTTCGGAGAGGCGCGGCTGCGCCGAGCTGACGTTGGGCGGCGAGCTGGTGGTAGGCGCTGTCCGGGTGGAAGACCGGGTTACGGGGCGTGCGAGAACTGGACGGCGGGTAGTGGTTATGTTGTTGACGGTCTTGCCGTGGAGACGCCTGCGCTGGTTGTTGGTAGACAGGCGCCTGCGGTGGTTCGTCGTAGTAAGGTTCGTGCTGTTCCAGTTCGATGTGCTGTTGGTGCGGTTGTGCTGTTTGCAGGCGGCGAGATCCTGGGGAGCGCTGGGTACTGGTATTGTCGAGAGGCTCCTGTTCATCCGGTCCAGAGGACTCGAAGGAATATTTGCGAGGCATGTTGGTGTTAAAAAGGAAAGAGGACGAGGGCGAGGAGGGGGTAGGGGGTAGTAGGTCCCAAAGCGGAAGAGAAAACCGGTTTCAGTGATCAGGCTGCTCCGCAGCAAATTAAATATGACAAGTAGAGGAAGACAGGAGGAAAATAGATGGACGCGGACGCGGCGGCCAAATGGAGACAACGCCACAAGGTAAATGGCGAGACAGTCGGCTCAACCGATCAACACTGCCTGTGTACGAGGCGGCAGGAGAGTTAAGTCGAGGGGGGGGGGGGGGGGGGTTGCCCAGGCGGGCTGTTTGGCTGAACGGTCCAGTCTGTTAGCATCAAAGTCTGGCTGAACGGTGCATGCAAAAAGCAAAAATACTTTGAGACAGGTCGCACGACACCGCCAAATGGAGCGCAGGCGGGCGAGACGTACCGAGAGACAGCAAATCTAGTCGCAGGCGAGGAGGGTCATATCCGCATTCCCCTTTCTGGCGCTGTCATGGGACGAGCTGGCAGTCCTGTTGTACGAAGCACACGAGTCGTACGGAAACGTCTGCCAGGGCGACAAGAATGACAGCATACAACTGCCAGGTTCTCAAACCTTAACGAGGGTCGTGTTAAGGCTTGGCAAAACGGCCGGGACGAGCAACGGAACAGCGTGGGTTAATGCGCTCGTAAAAAGATCGATGCGGCTGTTTGAGGCAGAGAGAGAGAGCCCGCCAACGGCAGGACGAGTGAGCTCTTACCACCTACGATGGCGGGCGCGGCGGAAACGGGCGAAATACGAGGCTGATGTGGCGTGAGTAGAAACGAAATGAAAAGAAAAAATAGAAGTGCCCAAGGGGGGGTGGTGTCGAAGCAGGAGAAAGGGGAAGCGAACGATGGGAACGAGCAAGACACTCGCGACAGATAATGAGAGACGAGACAAGACAAGACCAAAAAACTGCAAGAGGAGAAATGACAGGCCGTCGAAAGGACGAGGAGAGAGAGAAAGAGAAAGTGGGTGAAGTCGACTGGAGCTGCAGGGCGGATGAGACAACGGCCGCAAAAGAAAGTAATGAACACCAGGACCACGAGCTTACCTTGCTGTGTCCAGACTGTGCGGATGACTGGGGGAGGACTGGGGAGCGCTCGTGTTTACAACTTTCGAGCGGCGCTGGGATGGGGGTTTGTCGTCTCGTATTGTCACTAGTTGAGCCTCTCGCTGCTAGCGGACGGCTAGTGTTTCGGGCGACGTTGCAATCCTGGACCAGCGCTGGGTTGTGGCCTGGGTTCTTGGATGCTTTCAAAGTTTGATGCGCAAGGACGAAGAGCGACTGCGAGTGTGCGGCGTGAGGAAAATCGTGAGGAAAATCGTGAAGCTTGAACTTTTGGGTTGCGAATCCACTTCCCTTGTTTCCTGGTGTTGCCCCGGGAAAGGGGGACCGTTTAGGGCGATGGACGAGGCTCTCCTCGACCTGCTTCAGACCCTGGACAGATGCAACCTTGGTTCGTGCGACTGTGTTTTGGTGGTGCTGGGGTCCCTGGGTCCTTGATGTGCGATGAGGCTGTGCAGAGTACGAAAAGGCGAAAAGGACCAAAAAAAGAAATCGGGGCAAAAGGGCTGGGTATTGCAGAATGTCGACTTTGGCAAGCTCGCAAGGCAAGAACGCCGCCCCGAGGCTGACAGCGTCCAGAAAAGGTCGCTGTTGGAAGGAGCGCCTCGTAAACCGTACTGTCCGTAATGTGCGTAAAATTACGACCAACGCCTTTTTGGAGAGCAAATAAC